GCAAGAAATTCTTGAATTAGTACGTCTTGCAGCACAGGGAGGTAATCGAAATTTGGATATAAGCCCTTTGCAAATATTTTCATTCTTTGTAGGTCGATGTAAAGCGAAACTTCATATTGTTTTATGCTTTAGTCCAATTGGCAGCTCCTTTCGAACTAGACTGAGGCTATATCCTTCTTTAGTAAATTGCTGTACAATTGATTGGTATGACAGCTGGCCTGAAGAAGCTTTAGAAATGGTAGCAAATCATTATATGGGTAAAGTTAATGTAGCAGACGTTGTAAAGCAAGCGGCTGTTATTGCTTGTAAACAATTTCACGTAGATGCACGTAAAGTCTCAACAGATTTTTATAATGATTTTGGACGTAAAACTTATATAACATCAGCTTCGTATTTGGATTTAATAAAATCTTTTACTACATTAACGAATCGCAAACAAAGGGAGTTACGAGCAGCCAAATTAAGATATACCAATGGTCTTGATAAACTTATGCAAGCAGCAGATGCAGTGGCAATAATGCAACGTGATTTGAATGCGTTAAAACCACAACTTATTATAATGGCCGCGAAATCAACCAAAATGATGGAAGAAATTGCAGTAGAAACTGCAATAGCAGATAAAGCTGCAGCACAGGTAAGAGAAGACCAAAAGGTTGCAAATGTACAGGCAGCAGCAGCACAAGAACTTAAGAAAGACTGTGAAGCAGATCTAGCTCTAGCTTTACCTATATTAGAAGACGCTATCGCAGCTTTAAACACGCTAAAGCCGGCTGATATTACTATCGTAAAATCTATGAAAAATCCCCCTGCTACAGTAAAGCTGGTAATGGCAGCAGTTTGCGTTATGAAAGGTTTGCCTCCCGACAAAATACCTGATCCTGACAATCCAGGTAAAAAAATCTTTGATTTTTGGGGTCCAAGTAAAAGAATCTTAGGTGATATGAGTTTCTTAGAATCCTTAAAAAATTTTGATAAGGATAATATACCAGTAGCAACGATGCAAAAGATTAGAAAAGAATATCTGTCTAATAAAGACTTTAAGCCACATATAATTGCAAAGGCGTCAACGGCTGCTGAAGGTCTTTGTAAATGGATAATTGCTATGGATATGTATGACGCGGTAGCAAAAGTCGTAGCGCCTAAAAAGGCGAAATTGGAGGCGGCCGAAAGAGAATTTGCTCAGACTATGGCTATTCTAGAAGAAAAAAAGGCAACTGTCGCCCGATTAGAAGCAAAATTGGCAGAATTAAACGAGGCCTTGGAGGAAGCCAATATAAAGAAGAAAGCTTTAGAAGATGAAGTGCAATTGTGTATAGACAAATTGTATCGTGCTGAAAAATTGATTGGTGGACTAGGTGGCGAAAGAGTCAGGTGGACAGCTGCTGCAGAAAACCTTCAAAAATTGTACGATAATTTGGCAGGAGATATATTAGTATCTTGCGGTATTATTGCCTACTTATCACCGTATACACTACCTGTTCGCACAGCTATTACTGAAACATGGCGAAAGCTAGTAATTGATTTAAAAATGCCTCATTCAGATCAATTTGTGTTTAAAGACATTTTGGGTACTGATATCAAAATACAAAATTGGTGTATTGCTGGGTTACCCAGAGATTCATTTTCGATCGATAATGCAATTATACAAGACAATTCAATGAGATGGTCCCTCCTAGTGGATCCTCAGGGGCAGGCTAATAAATGGATAAAAACTATGGAAAAATTGAATGATCTACAAGTAATGAAGTTTACAGATGGCAATTATATGAAAGTGATTGAAACTTGTTTAGAATACGGTAAACCGGCACTGATTGATTGCATACTAGAGGATGTAGAAGCTCCTTTAGATCCCGTTCTACTTAAGAATACTTATATGCAAGCTGGTAAAGAGTTTATAGCTCTCGGTGATAATGTCATTGAATATCACCCACATTTCAGGCTTTACATGACTACAAAACTTAGAAACCCACATTATTTACCAGAAGTGTTTAATAAAGTTACTCTTATCAACTTTGCTTTAACTAAGGATGGACTAGAAGATCAACTTCTAGGAATAGTGGTTGCAAAAGAAAGACCTGATTTACAGGAAAAGCGGGAAAAGTTGATTGTACAAGGAGCGGCTAATCGAGCTGCTTTAAAGCAAGTTGAAGATGACATTTTACGAACTTTACAGGAATCTAAAGGGGATATTTTAGAAGATGAGAGCGCTATAGAAGTTTTAGACTCATCTAAATTGCTGGCCATTGACATTATGAAAAAACAAGAGGCTAGCTTAGAAACCGAAGAAATCATAGAAAAATTTAGATTGGGTTATCGACCTATAGCTTCGCATTCAGCTGTTTTATACTACTGTGTTACCGAATTACCAAATGTAGACCCAATGTATCAATATTCACTAACATGGTTCATTAATTTGTATATTATATCAATTGAAAACGCAAACAAATCAAAGGATTTAGACAAACGTTTAAAGTTCCTAAAAGACACTTTCACATACAATTTATACAGTAATGTTTGTAGATCCCTCTTTGATAAAGATAAACTGATGTTTTCTTTTATAATGTGCTCTAAGATGATGTTATCAACTGGTGAAATGAATCATGACGAATATAAATTTTTAATCACTGGAGGTATAGCTATTGAGAATCCACATAAAAAACCTTTTGACTGGTTGCCAGATAAAAGTTGGGATGAAATATGTAGAATTGACGATTTACCTGCATACAAAGGCTTTAAAAACAACTTCCTTAATACTGTTGCAAAATGGAAGGAGGTTTATGATGACCTTGAACCGCATACTAAACCTTTACCTGCTCCTTGGCACGATAAATTAACAGCTTTTCAAAAACTCTTGGTAGTAAGACTTTTAAGGCCAGATAAATTAACAATTGCTTTGTCTAACTTTGTAGAAAATCAAATGGGAGTAAAATACATTACACCACCACCATTCGATATAGGAAAGTCTTTCGGGGATTCAAATTGCTTAGCACCTTTAATATTTATTTTATCACCTGGCTCAGATCCTATGGGTGCACTGATAAAATACTGTGAGAAAATGGGCTATGCACATAGATTTAATTCTATATCATTAGGACAAGGCCAGGGGCCTATAGCTAGAGCAATGATTGAAAGAGCTCAGTTAGAAGGAGGATGGGTTTGCTTACAAAACTGTCACTTAGCAGTTTCCTGGCTACCTGTATTAGAGAAAATTGTAGAAGGCTTTGATCTTACTAATACTGATTTAAGCTTTAGGTTATGGTTGACAAGCTACCCATCTGATAAATTCCCGCAGTCTGTATTACAAGTAGGAGTGAAAATGACGAACGAACCACCCACAGGGCTACAACATAATCTAAACCGATCTTACTTATCGGAACCATTAAAAGAACCAGAGTTTTACGAAGGCTGTCCCGGAAAAGATAAAGCTTTTAGTAAACTGTTGTATGGAATAAGTTTCTTTCATGCAGTTGTTCAAGAAAGGAAAAAGTTTGGACCTTTGGGATGGAACATACAGTACGGTTTCAATGATTCAGATTTTCATATTTCGGTTATGCAGTTACAGATGTTTCTAAACCAATATGAAGAAATACAATACGTAGCTATTAAATATTTAACAGGCGAGTGTAATTATGGTGGTCGAGTAACTGATGATTGGGATAGACGACTGATTATTACGATTTTAGATAATTATGTCAATTCTGGTGTTGTTCATGATCCCAATCACTTATTTTGTGATCTTGGTACTCAATATGGTTTACCACGTAGGTGTGAATATCAGGACTATCTCAAGCACATTGAATCTGTACCGGTAAACCCTCCCCCTGAGGTTTTCGGATTGCATATGAACGCAGGAATAACACGAGACTATACTATTTCAATGGAACTTACAGCAGCTTTAGTTCTAGTTGAAGGATCAGGTTCTGGTGGTGAGGGTGGAAACACTGAAGTTATCCTCATGCAAATGGCAACAGAAATTCTTTCGAAATTGCCACCGGCATTCGATGTAGAAACTGCCCAAAAGAAATATCCCGTTGATTACAATGAATCTATGAATACAGTACTTATACAAGAAATGGAAAGATTTAATAAACTTCTCCGTGAGATAAAATCTTCACTTTTAGATTTACAAAAAGCTGTCAAAGGGTTTATTGTGATGTCTCCAGCCTTAGATCTACAGTCTAACGCTATGCTTCTCGGTCGTATTCCAAGTAACTGGTCAAAAGTGTCTTATCCTAGTTTAAAACCTCTACCGAGTTATGTTGCGGACTTCATTGATCGGCTCGCTATGTTAGAAGACTGGTATCAAAATGGGAAGCCATCTACATTTTGGTTATCAGGATTTTTCTTTACACAAGCATTTTTAACTGGCTCTGTACAAAACTTTGCTCGATCAAAGAAAATTCCAATAGATTTACTGATTTTCGATTTTGAAGTGAGAAAAGTTGATTATGAAACTACACCACCTGAATGGGGTGTTTTTGTACAAGGACTTTTTATGGATGGCGGTCGTTGGGATAGGAGTAAACATGTAATAGGTGAACAGTTGCCTAAAATATTAAACGATAACATGCCAGTAGTATGGCTATATCCAACATTAAAGAATGAATTTGCTGAAGGTTCTAGGTATAGGTGTCCTCTTTATAAGACGCTGGAGAGAAAAGGAGTTCTTGCAACTACAGGTCATTCTTCGAATTTCGTTCTTGCTTTTTATTTGCCTTCAGATATGCCAGCAGCTCATTGGGTAAAACGGAGTGTTGCCTTACTACTTCAGCTAGATAATTAATGTAAACATTATTTACTACTAAAATGTAATTCTAACGAGATTTTATTAATCCTAACAATTTATGCTACTCTCTATAGTAATAATGTAGTTTTAATATTTTGCGATTAATTAAACATGTCATTGTTATAATAAATAATAAAACAGTTTTTGGGTGTTTCAAAAAGTTTTATTCGGCATCTGAAATTACTAGTTTAGCTACTATTAGTGGGTGAATTTTCTAATTGTCACAGAATCTATTCTTTGTTAATTCCCGCCGCATATCTTCAGTTTCAATAAGTTTACGTCGCAACCTTTTCATTATAGCTTTGTTCCTATTCTGTAAAAAAACATTTGTATATTTAAATTAGTAGACAAAATACTCCGCTGACGGAGACTCAAAGCGAACATAGAAAATAAATAGATATATGCATTGTAAAATTTTTTAGGTTGCATGACGAGGTGCGGAAAAATACGCTTAATCAATCTTCAAACAGTATTGATCGAAATCACAACAAAATTCAAGAATATAATGTGCAAAGGACGACTAATGTTCGTTTAATCACTTATATTTAGGTAGGTCTTTGCCTTCTCCAATATTAAGTTTTGGAAATTTACGAATGAGGGACTTGTAGCAGATTTATTTTATATACCATTAGAGAGCTACATTCTCTTTCTATAGCGACACATTCATCTTCTATGGCTGCCGCGGCTTTCGTTTGCTGTTCGTTTTTTTCTAAAATCTTTACCATTTTCTGACGCACTAATTCTTTTTCTTCTACTTCTTTCTGTTTCAAGTGTTCTCTTTGTACGGCCGACATTGCTCTTTCTGTGGTGTATATTACCAATTAAAAAAACCATTGGGTTTTATTACGTATGAAATTCTTATGTGCTTTACAACAAATTTTTTTTCCACAAATGGAATTTTGTGAAACAATTGCAGGCATTTGAACTTTGAATGAGTATATTATATCAGCTCAAAATGCTTTTTTTTAGGTAGGTACAAAGTTGAATACAAACCTTTGTTGAATAAAATATCATAAGAATTTTTATGTTTATCTAAATTAGATAGGTGAACTTCAATCTTCGCCTCTTCGGACTTCGCACACACGTTGATTATTGCTTTCTGATACTTCAGTTGAGATAGTTCACTACTCAATTCCTGTTTTATGTTTCAATTTAATTGTTATAAAAAAATATATATTTTGAAATTGAAAAATTAAGTTTAGGGCGAGTTAGCGATTATTCAAGTTAGCTTACAGTTATTTGGGAATGAGAAAACCCGTATATAATTTTCAAATTTTCCATTTCTTCTGTTAAAATATGCTCTCTCGTCCGTAAAGAGTTTACCTTCCTCTCCAGTTTAAAATTTTGTTGGCTAACTAAAACATTTATATACTTGTTCAACACATTAACGTTGCAAAAATAATATACAAATAAAATCATAATAATTAAAATTAATAAATAAATAATGAAAACGAAAAAAAAGTCCACCCCACGCAAGAGATGGGAGGACGAACTGAAACTAACAGCAGGCTACAACTGGAGAAGAGTCGCAAAAAATAAACAACAGTGGGAAGGGGTTAGAGGAGGCCTTTGCCAAGAGGCAAACCGAACTCCGAGATATACTGGAGTGAAAATATATTAAAGTTCAAAATAAAATGAAGAGTTTCGGAATTTAAAGGATATATTATTATTATTATTATTAATAATTAAAATTAATAAATAAACTTTTATAATTATAAGCGTACCAGAATGCAGCTGCAGTTTTAATTCTATTATTTTATCATTCAGTGCCATTATTGTTTGATTATTTGTTTTTTCTAAGATGAGATTTTATTTACGAAATCTGTTACGTTAAAAGTCCTATGTCAAATAAACTAGAATAACGTAATACGATATTGGCAGTACTTTGCCGAAATTTTTAAAATATCTTTCTTTTCTAGTTTCAAATTGCCGCCAATTGTTGCTTTTTTTTTAAAGTTTTTATGGTATGGTATAGTTTAATAGTCGTAGGGCCAAAATAGTTGATAGTTGTGTAAAATTATTTCTATACTCTATAGCATAGTCCATAGACGTTCACTTACTTAACATTCTGTTGTCGTACGTCACGGTCACTGTCACTTTTGTACTGGCTTCCGAATTTCGGCCATCAATCAAGTAAATCGACGCGAGCGTGTTGCGTGCATTTTTCATCTTAATTCTTAACCCATATAACTTTAAGAAAGTTCTTGATCTTTGGCCAAGAAGTATATTGCCGCAAATATAAATATTCAACAACCATGTAGCAGTGATATCAAAGAAGCGTAGATAAACTCTGTACAGTTCCAATGTGTAAGTCTGCCAAAATGGTTTCAAACAGCACACGGGTGATTCAAGTCACCAATATAGCGCCACAAGCTACTAAAGATCAGATGCAAACTTTGTTTGGCTACTTAGGGAAGATCGATGACATACGGCTGTATCCAACAATAAGAGATGTGTCGTGTCCAGTGCAATCGCGAATATGTTACGTCAAATATTACGATGCGACAACCGTGAACGTTGCTCAGCACATGACCAACACTGTGTTCATCGACAGGGCTCTGATCGTCATACCCTTGCCATCAGGGGAAATTCCAGACGAACATAAAGCTTTAGAAATGTCAAGTAATGGTACACTTGTGCCTGGCTTGAATACTGTAGAACCTCGCCTACCAGCACATGTAGTAAATTCTCTGGAAGGAGTACCACCAAATCAAGTAATACAAACTTATGATCCAAAAATTGCTGAAGCAGGTTTGCCACCTTATCCTCCTATACCGGCTCTTTATGATTCTAGAAGGATTGAAGAGATACGGAGAACAATTATGGTAGCATTTGTAGGGGAGTTAACTAGTCAGCAGTTAATTGACTATTTCGGTCAGGCGGGAGAAGTTTCTTACCTGCGTTTCTGCGAAAGAGAAAATGATCCAACTAAGTTTGCATTGATTGAACTGGCTGAGCAAGAGAGTATAATAAAAGCATTACAATATAATGATACTACAGTAGAAGGTCAGATGATAAAGGTAAGAAAAATTTAATCTTTTAAAACTATTATTGTATAGTTTTAAAAACATAAAGTGTACTTTATTATATGCTTTTGTGTAATAGATATCTACTAACTTTAAAATTCTATAAGGTTCATCATTCAACACAAGCTATTTGTAAACCTCAAACAAAGAGCAATGAAGCAGCGCAACGGGAGATAGAGGAAGCCATGTGCAGAGTTAAGGAAGCTCAGAATTTTATTTCAGCAGCCATTGATCCAGTCATAGGATTACTGTCTAAGGATAAAAGAAGGTACCCCTTGTTTATTTTTAGACTTTCTGTATATCAAAGTTTTATAATGCTGCTGTTATAAACAGAATCAAGTCAATAAATCTCAAGCATAATATGGTAAACGCCCTATTATTTTAACAACGAGAATTAACTATATTGCACAATAAATTACTGCAATTTCATATATCATGTTTTATTGTTTGTCCCTTGTTTAGATTCTTCATGAGTAAATTTGGCTTGGTTTTGTTTAGGGCGGCTAATTTTTCATATCCAACGGCAATATTGCCTAATTGCAAGGAAATAAGGATAACAATAGGAGTAATTTATCAGTAAAGGTAGCAACAGACTTGCAACACAATATGTAATATGTTTGTGGCGATCTTGTTACATTGCAGAGTAGCATAAGATGCAGCGAATGCGTGTTAGCTCAGCTCAATCGTGCTCCACATTTATTCTCGAAATGTACAGCATAGAGGTAATGTCTGCCCTTCCTTTTTAATTTATTTTTAATCCTGTCCTTAGCAATAAGACAAGTTAATAGAGATATTAGTCACACATTTGCCTATAATTACTTGTCTCATTGCACTAGATCATTGCGAGTCAGTTGCTGTCTTTATTCGTTTGCATTTATAATCTACAAAAAGGGTTAGTAGTAAACTCAATTTAGTTTTATAAAATATTAACCAATCTCCTATGTACAATATCAACATCACTCAGGTTTGTACTAGCAATTATTATTTTCATTAACAGTATCAACTAATGTAATAAGGTAAGTAACTAGCAGCAAAATAAGATCTGCAGAGGTTGGTGTTGCAAGTTAAGGATAGTAAAGTACTAAAACTTATACAACAATGATCTTCACTCATAATGTAAAAATCTTAAAATATTTTCGAACTATGGTAGTTATTTTAATGTATGGATTTTAAAAAAACTATTGTTACCAGGCAGTAGAATCTTCAAAAAAAAACTGTTTTCAATTGTTTTCTCAAGGTAATCTTACGTTAAATGTACTGGTTTTGATAGGCTATATTCACTTTATACAGTGCCATTGCTATATTTTTACTTTGCTAATAAGACAAAAGTGTTAGTTTTGTTTAAGATAATGAAAAAGGAGATAAAGGTGATTAGTTACATTCATAATGGACATCTAATAAATTTGAATAAAAATTAAGTATCTGATGTGAGATAATTTCTATTATTGGTCTCCATGAACAGTAATCACTTAACATGCAGTAGCTCTATGGGCTATATATTTAAAATCTATTAAAAAAATATTTATGACAAGTTCGAGGTTCTACTCGTACAATCACTATTTATTATATAAGGGAGTTTGTAACAGGACTCGGTCTCGTTCTCGATCCCGCCGCCGTTCCCGGTCCCGGTCCCGGAGATCCCGGTCTCGACACCGCGGGAAGAGGTCTCGCTCGCGATCCAGACATCGTTCCCGCCGATCGCGATCCAGAAATAAGCATCGTTCTAGGTATATTAAGTATTATTAGTGTAATACTGTTCAGTATTTATAAACAGTGATCTATTATATGAATCACGATGATTTATATCTGTATCTATAATTCTGTAAATGTCATATTAGATAGGGCAAAAATGTTAATACAATACAAATAATTGTATTTATTTTATCCACCATACATACTCGGGTCCTAAACGGTCTAATAGGATTATTTTCGATAGTTTGAGCTACAAGTCATACTTTGTCCCCAAATTTATAGAAAGTTCTAAAAATTATTTTTAAATTTTGAATAATCTTATTTTAACGATTTCCAGGTCTCGTTCTCATCGTCGTAGTTCCAGACGCTCACGATCGCGGTCGCGGCATCGCAGCTCTAAATCGAAACGTGATCGTTCTCGTGAACGTGACCGTGATCGCAAAGACAAGAAAGATTCTGACAAAGATAAGGAAAAGCGGGAAGAATCTAAATCAATACCAAAGGAAGAGTCAAAAGAACCAGAGACAAAGGTTGTAACCATTGAGCCTGAAACTAACGGAACTTCCGAATCCAAATCAAAGGCTTCTACGCCGGTCGAAGAGAAAACTAAGCCGGAACCGGAACCAGATAAAAAAGTTAAAGAGAGGTCTCCTTCAAAAAAGAGGGAAAGATCTCGATCCAGAGATAGAAAACGTGAACGTTCCCGTTCAAAGCGACGGTCTCGTTCGAAGTCTCGAAGAAAGCGCTCCAGATCCCGCAGGAGATCACGATCCAAAGATAAAAAGAGATCGCGCTCGAGAGATCGGAAAAGGTCTAGGTCGCGTAAACGATCCCGATCTAGGGATAGGAAAAGGACTCGATCCAGAGATAGGAAGAGAACTAGGTCCAGAGATCGAAAAAAATCTAAGTCCAGGGATAGGAAACGCTCGATTTCTCGGAGTTGTCGATCTAAGAGTCGCTCAGTCAGAGACTCGAAGACATCGCACGACAGAAAATCTAGAGATAAGACTCCCAATCTTACCCCGGTGATTGAGGAGACGAATGCTTCCATGGCCGAACGGTCGCCAGATTTAGGGGATGAAAAGAATTCACCAGATAACATGGACATTTCCAATTCGCCTTAGATATTAAGTTACCGATGACAAAGTTGAAGAAAGTCTTGTTTTTTACCTGCTGTTTGTATAATTTGCTTTCATTTTTCCAACTGTACATGAATTGTGATTTGTCATGTATTTTAACAAATAAATCAAATTTTAAAAAGTGTTAGTTTTACCAAATTTTAAAAACGATTTTGTCTAAGAAATCATTTCTAATCCATCAAAAAGTTAACAGAATTCGTTTATTTATGTAATTACAATATATTATCTTCATTGTCACAGATCTAGACATCTATTTTTTTAATTTGTTTAATAAAAAGGTCAACTAACAGATTTTCACTTCAACTTACATATTTAAATAGATTTTGCATGAGAAGGAATAGTTTCAGACCTAATTATAGGTTTGTTTGGGTTAATATCGAAATGCCCTTGAGATTTCTTGCTGGTGTTTACTTAAATTTGAACTAAAAGTCGTTTTACATTCACTTCGACATGAACTAAATATTGTTTTCAATTTAATATTTAATTTCACGCTGCGAAATCCATATACATTATACTGAACTACAAAGATAAAATGATATCGGGAGAATACGAGGTAAGCGTTTTCATATTAACGATTTAAATTCAATTATATACATTTGCATTACGTGCAATTATCAGCTGAATATCTTAAAAATTGTTTTAGAATATTCATCGCATTATAGCAGTATACTATCACTTCTTAAACCCTGTTAGTTTAAAACCACACATACAATATAAAGTCGAGTTATCCAAGTTAAAAGATATTCTAGACGCAGTCAATTATAAGGAGTGGCTTTTGAAAGGCTCCCGAAGATGGTTGCCAAACGGGGAAGCACCTTTCCCCGGTTACTGCAGGGCTCCAGGAAATGAAAAATGTCTTCCAGTTTTATGTAATTGTGAGAAATTGACTGAAATATGGAAGAAAATGAAAAAGGAAGGCGGAATAAAACCCAAGTATAAATAATATTTCCTTACAGAGCTGATTAATAGGTATAAGTTGTTTTGATACTACAAAAACTTCAAACTTTATTATGATATTTATTGTACAGAGTAAAATACACAGACACTTATACAAATCTTAATGTTAGACAATTCAAAACGGCAACACATCAAGCATAGCATACTTCCAGGTCCATTGTCGCGCGAGGGCTTCGAACTTTGGTCGATCTTGTACGTACATCTCCCCTAGTTCCGGCTCCATACAAACCTAAAATAAAATCATTAGTAAAACTTCGTATAATTTTTTTATAAAATTTAGATAACAAAGAGAATGAAATTATGCCAAAGCAAATATCATTAACACAGACTATGACATCGATTTTTATACAAAAAAATACATATAGATACATAATAGTAATAATATAATATACTTCATCCACTCAGAATGTACTATTACTTCAGTAATCCGACATTTGTTACACCTCGACATATTAAATCATATTGTCAAATTATGTATTTTTATTCAAAGAAATATCACCACATCGATAGCAAAAAGTCAAACTACATCGAACAGTGTAATAAAAGGATAGTACGCATATGTTTAATAGATTTTTTAAAAAATAATAATTAATAATTTAAGCTATTATGTTAGTTTTAATATTGTCCTAAATTATATTATTCATATAAATATGGATGTGACATCACCGCAACAGTATATTATCCTATCTATGTATGTAGTATGTTAACCAACTATTACCATTTCACCGGGAATAAAAACCAAAACAAGTCTAAGGCATGTCGGTTTCCTTAAGATCCTTCACCTATAAAAGAGTACCAAATGCTCACATAGAAAGTCCATAGGTGCACAGCCGGGCGTCGAACCTACGACCGTTACACGAGGAAGCTTTTAGGCCAACATTGTTATTTTTAAAAAAATATTTATTAAAATTTAATATTATTATATTAATTTTAATATAAACTTTGTAACTGATTAGTATGAATAAAATAAAATGTTTTTATTAATTATGTACATTACAATGTGTAAGATTGGGAAATCCTTTTAAAAATACCCGGTCCCCAGCTCTTCCATGACAAAGTTAACATATGAATAAACATTCTTTTAAATTACATATTTGATTTTTTTCAATTGTTTACAATAAATTCTTCAGATTTTTATTACATCATACGCGAAGTGTAACACACGTGATTGCACTAGTGAGTTTGTGGGTGCATGTAAGCGAATGAGTGATTGTAATGAATAATATAATAATAAACAGAATGTTAGGGCTTATATACACGAGCGGCACGATGCCGATGGCAGAGAAGAAACACTATTATTGCTTTTACTCCGTCGACGTCGACAAAAACGAAAACGAAACACACGTACATTGTGGGTTCAATGCACTTTGGTTTATTGTTTACAGCCGCCCACGCTCTGTTTTTTATTGTTTTGTTCTGTACTCTTGTTTATAATTCCAAATACAAGCAATTTTTCTTTACTTCCACAATAAGCATTTCAACATCAATACTGTCACTGGAGATCATTTTATAAAATTGAAACGACTCCTAAACTATTTGCAGTCAACTGACAAAATGGCGGGGACGGCACGCTACAAAGTACAAACACAAACAACTGCAAGCGTCGATTTAGGTCGACGTCTGCCGTCGGCATCGTGCCGCTCGTGTATATGAGCCCTTAGATCTCGGTAGCTTCTCCAACTTTGCGTAAGTGTGTGTGTTCAGAAGCCAGTCCTTTTACCCTTTTTTTTTAACGGTTATTATAGATAAAGTTATTATTATAAACATAATTTGCTTAATAATAAAAGAGTCAACTCACATTAGTATAAGGGTCTGTAAGTAAGCTCTGTATGGAGATGAGGACTTTGCTGATAGTCAAGGCCAACGACCAATTGTGGTGGACAGAGTCGATTCCCACATCACCATGACGAGACACATTTGGATGGAGGATACGAGTTAGGAATCTCACCACTGGTGGACTCATTGGGTATCTATAAATTATTTTAACACATTAGTATAAAATAAAAAATGTATGCGTGTACACACGTAAGAAGTGAAACTTCTTTATGACCTTATTTTACGAAAAATGATCTACTATATGCAACTTTACAGAAATTGGTTAAATAAAGTTAACTTAGATAAAGTTTAAAAAAAGGCTTTTATTATCAGAGACATAGATAGAATAGAATACAAATAATACAATTATTTAATTCTACCTTATTACTACTAAGATTATTACAGAATTTCATTAATTGTAATATAATTATTACTATCATAGTTATCGTTATTATATATTTTTGTTATTAATATAAATTTTATACATTTTATGAACGCACTACACGGTTTTTGACATAAATAATAATGATTTAAAAGTATAATTTCTATTTATCACTAAATTAAATACTTGCAGTATTATTAAATATATTATAGTTTTAAATATAACGTGAAAAAATTATTCAATATAAATAACGGTACGTTGCCGTAAGCCTGAAGTTAGTTTTCAGAGGTAGGCAAACTTCAAAAACAACAAATCTTGCAACTAATCAATAAATTGGATCCGAAATCGCCGGACAAGAAAAAGATGGCGCGTAACGGCAAAATATGACGCATACGTGTACGCAAATTTTTTTCCAACGTCGATAACGAAGTTTCACTTCAATAATAATACTCACGAATAGGGCACTTGTACGTATAGAAAGAAGACGCCCCCCTCGTAAGGCGATCCAGCCGGTCCGGTGACGCTGGCCTGCCAGTGGCAGCACTTCATGTCCAAGGGCGTGGCTGCTATGCCTTCGGGAGAGTCGTTGCGTAACATCTAAGTAATTAAGAATTATCTATTTTGATGAAGCTGTTCCCTAAGTAGGAATATACCTATTCAAAATCAAGATCATATCGATAGGACTTTTAGTTTACATGCATTTAAGAAATTTTGCTGACGTGGTTAGAATAAATAGACCATCATAGTCAAATACTATCCAATTCTATCATAATTTAATAAAAATAAACACGCCAAATGGCGCTTTCTCCTCTCGCATTCATAGAATTTCTGAGTTGAGCAAATATACAGTTTTAAATTTCAGTTTTCTTGAAATCGAATATGTACGAAGATTTAATTATATTAATTTACGTGCAGTAATTATTTTAATATTTATTTTATCACGTGCGCCACTAGTGTGATCAAGACTTTAATAATTAAAAACTAGAATGCCCAATTAAAAAGTCGCATAAATACCTTTATTTATTAATAAAATTTTCGACGTTACTCAATTAAAATTAATTTTAACGTGAACTGACCAAAATATGTAGATAAACAATTTTCTATAAATTTAAGTTCGACGTACTAATAATTGTGGGCCTTTGGTAAAAAATATATTGGACAACACATTCAAACCCATAAACTATAATTTACTCTAAAGTCGATATACCTTTAATTCGCTGCGTAGTCTGTTCCACCTCCACGCATTTTCTTCACCGCTGGGTGCGGCTTGGACACACATTTGCACTAAACAATTGCGGCAGAAACAAGACTCCACCAAAGATTGGTATTTCTGAAATAAAAATGTAACAATTTCTTTGTGGTTTGTTTGCCACCAATCAATGACAATATTATTTATATTATGCTAAATTTCAATTAATAAAGTATGCTTGTTTTAGTTTTAGATATAACACATACGTGAGTGCTACACATAAACGGGAATTATTTAATTTGAATCCGTTAAATATGTTTAATTGAAGAATCATTCGAATCACAGGCAAAATGTACGGTTATTTTACATTAACTTAAGGCCCTACCCCAGCACCAATTACTGTGTCAGTGTCTCGGGGTGGACTGCGGGGCGCAAAGGAGAGCTGGAAGACTGAGGCGCGCCGGCCCCTATACATTGTTACATTACATAACAATTATTTATGTAAAACATTAAAGTAATGTAATTTTATTTTTTCTGAAATGGATTACTTAGCTTGCGATTAAATATATCGTGTAAATTTCAAAATCATGTTCTATATACAGTTTCGGCATAAAATGAATTCAAAGTGTCAAAAGTTGGCTATGTTTGGATTTTTTTTCTATCGAGCGAAGTTATTTAAATCGTGTATCGACCTTTCAAAATGGATACATAAACTACTCAACTCCACCATATTTTTTGAAGTTATACTTCTTTAGGCGCGTTATGAAAAATTGATGAGAGTGAAATTTTACGATGCGCGCGCACCTGAGACACAAAGTTGTCAGTGTGATTTTAGCGTGCGCGAGCGAGATGGGAATAAGACAATCTACAAGTGAAAAGAAATAGAATATGCGTGACGTTAGCAGCTATGCCAAGAATTTTGAATGACCATAATGACATTTGTAGTACCTTTTAAACAAATAAAGGAGTTTTAATTGTTTTTTCAAAGAAATTTAGCAATGCTTTTTCTAAAGACCTATTGTTACTTATTAAAGGTTATGAAACATACCAAGTTATTAAATTGAATGAATCATATAATAAAATAATAAATAATAATAATAATTGTTATTAACATTAATTAATAATTGAATAATATACTAAATATTATTAAATTGTTTACGTTAAATATTAATTATTAATTAATTGTATTTTAAAAAAATAAAGAAAGCCAAAGAAGTATAACTTCTTACGCGCGTACATAAGTACACGCACCCTTTTTTTCCATGCCCTCCTTCAAGAAACGATGACGAAAAATGGAAAGAAACAATGTATATAATGATAGGTCCTTAATATATTTGAAGCGCGCGTCTTCAAGTCAATGTCCGCAACAAAAACTTGCTCATCAGGGTGCAGGAAAACATCGAGAGAAAACCGGCATTATACCAAGAAATCCACGGCGTGACTCATCCACAGAAGGCTGATCACCTACTAAAAATAAGAATTAAAAAAGTGTGTCGAAACAGATGCAGAGATCTGAGACTAAGGCTTACAGATAGTAGCGCCACTGGTTTTTGGATCTATTAATGTAATATTCGCACCCGTTGCCAATCAAAGTCAGTAAACATGGGTCTAAACAGCGGCCACCTGGCAGCTGTGAATGTGGCCCATCGTGGAAGTGGAACACGAGCACGGACCAACCTCTGCCAACGCGTACAAACACATGCGCAGGCGCAGAGCGACATGTCGTCAAGATATCGGAATATACATAGTAGCACTGTAAAGATGGTTTATTAAACTTAAAATATTTTATAAAAACATACTAAATCAAATTGTTTATCAATATTAATTATTAATAAATAATACTATGAATATATTAAATATCTTTTTCATCTACAAAAATAGCAAAAATTCAAATCAGGAGCTTTCTGACTGACAAAAAATATAGGAAACATAAGTGTCAAAAATAATATGTAATTTTACCTTCTGATGGCAAATGTTCAACAATTCCCAAAGGCAAATTGTCCGGAAGACGAGGAGTAGTCAAGGCTTGGAGAGTGTGAGGAAGATTAGGTGGTTGTGGTGGAGGGGCATATCCAGGGATGAATGGGTCTTTTACTGCTGACCCGGAACCGCAGCTGCCACTGCCACTGGGTCCAGAATTACTGGCTCTGCTGGCATCATCTTCTGGGCTTGTTTCACTGTCTAGTGATGTCTGAAAGATGTTTATATAAGTAAACATTAGGTACTATGAGGTCTTATTTAAACTAACACCATGGTCAAATAATTACTTTATATCTTTAAAGAAGAGATTCCAAGTTAGACTACAGGTCAATGGTATTGCATAATAAGTAAATAGTAATTTTGTTTGTCCGTCCCAAACCTTCTAGTGTATTTACAAACAAACCCTCAATGATTTAAATAGATTTTAGAATTTGTAAACAAAGTTTTTAGAGATTTTTTTTTTTCCTTTCCCCCCCCCCCCCCCCCCCCCCCCCCCCCACCCCCCCCCCCCCCCCCCAATAAATTTAAAATTTATCACTAAACTTGACTTTAAACAATAACTTAAATAAACTTACGAAAATAATAGTAACAGTTTGAAAACAGTAGTGAACTGGACTGTGAAATTTCCAACAAGTTTACTGATAGCTTAACAATTTTTTATAATTACCCTGATACGCCACCAAGCTGGAATTGGGAAAGTTCTGTTGGATTTTTTCTCTGAGCTAAAAATTAAGTCAGAAGGTTCATCATTTCCAGAGTCTCCATCGTCTGTCTTTTCAGTGCAAAAGTATGAACAAGGCAAATAGGATTGGAATTCAGGAAACAAAAAAGTATGGCATGTAACACATACAGGTTCTCCAAAACTTGGCCCGTAATATCCATTGCAAACAGAGCATATCGAGTTCTGAAATCAATTTAGACACTGAAAATGATTTAAGACATAAAAGTGAACTATATAATTAGAAAAAATATTCAAATAATATAGTGAAAATAATCTTGGGAAATATTTTAGGTATTAATATATATACTTACATTAAATTCAAATTCTGGTGTTCTTTCAATTGGGGAGATAGATGTTAATTTGTCATCATTCTCTTCCAGTTTTTTAACGAAACTAAGAAATTCCGCTGTAATTAGTGACATTCTGTAATTAAAGCCTATGCAATATCAAGAGCAGGGAATTAGGAGCTTTTAGTGAAATATAATTATTGTGTGTCCACAGCTAACACTTCACATTTAGTGCCTAGTTTGTTTATTAGGATTTAGGACTATTAGGTAATCGTCACTCGATTTTGCAAAAAAAATTACGAGACGATACTTTTATCTCAAAATATTTACTTTTTTAGTCTATGGTTTTAATATTTACATATATATATTTAATAAATGTAAAACCACAGGCTGACTTATAAAATAACTCTCAAAGAGTACTATACCACAGAAAAAAATGTTATACCGCGCCATACTTATTACTTGCTTATTCGCGAGGGACACTGTTATTTGTAACCAGGGGCCTTAGTCAAGATGCCTTAACAGTAGTTATGTAGTCAAAACAAATTCGCGAGGGACACTGTTAGTTTGTAGACCCCCATTACGGTTTGCACTTTTCAGCATCCTTAGGCTTAGGCCTTAGACTAACTACAGAGTTCAGATGCAACTGTCAATCGGGATTCCTTAGGGGTTGTCTTAGTTATAGACCAGACAGGTTATAATTAAATGCAGTAGTCGTTTGACTTCAGCAACTGTTTGTTATGTAGTCATTACAGCATGTACTAAATTAATACTTGTACTAAATTTATTCAGAGTGGATCCCGAAATTATATTGTGGTGTGTGACCTTTATATCATATTTGGTCCAAATAACAGACATTAACTAAACATATCATTAGTAACTTATAAATTGATTACTGCAAATTAATGAGTAATAGTTATGATTTTTTGTCAGTATACATCTCTTAAAATTGAACGAACATACGTTACGTAGACACATTTATACTTCATAGTGCACAGCACTCAGCAGTGCAGTGTAGGGAAATGAAGTTACGTAACCGGCACCAATTGTACTTAGCAGTTGGCACTTGGCTGTGACAGTTACATCAGACAGCAGATTCTATTAAAAATACGCGCGAATTTTCTTCTAATATAACTTGTTATGTACTTAACAAATTATATTAGATGTAATTATTGAATAAGGGTTAAAAAAAAACAACACATCAGTTACTTAAAGTTATGACATTTTTTTTCAATTGTCTTTGTAATATAATTCAGTAACTATTTTTCACAAATCAATTCAAATTATGTCATTGCATCAGTTTTACAAAAAATATGCCATTGGGAAAAAAATATATACAATTAAAACTACCCTCACATTGAGGCTACTTTGTCAGTATCTCCCCAAAGTTTCTTGGTTTTTGCCATATCAAGACCGAACTTGGAAGCATGATAAAATTATGGCATTGATATTTTTAATAACTAAAAATAGCTCCTAAATATACATAAAGTCCAATATGTTTAAAATGTGATGATACCATGTATCATTTTTATTTTCAGAACATTACAGATAAAACTTACAAAATACTGTGCACAAAAACTTAACTATTACAGTATGTAAGGTGGTTTAAATCGTCACAGAAAAATGAAGTGAAAAAAATATTCATGACACTTTTACCATATTTAAAAAAAAATTCATTTGTCAGTTTCAATCAAGGGTTGTGGACTTGTTTAATATTTGTTGTTGTTGTGTAAATAACTAATTTCTTAAAAAGTGAGTGATATATTAAATAGTACGCTAATATTGGGTTCTTCTATCAAATGCATCCTTCCTTATTCTAATTTCATTATCTCAAATCGCTTCCTCAAATTTTTATTGCAACTATTATTCAAACATGTTAAGTGTCTCGCTGATTGCAGGTACACAATATCTATGTATGTTCACATTATCCATAATACCAATAGGTGAAAATTACTACTTGTTTGAATACTGTTTGAATTAGAATAGAATCCGACAGTGTGTTTATATTTTAAAAAAAAAAAACAATAATTACACTGATTGTAAATTGTTACTATGATTTTTCACATTCACATTCTCAAATATAAATAAATACAAAAAATTACCTCATTAAAGCTAAAGCTACTATTGATCTTCATGTGGACACTGCATTTAAATTCAAAAATAGATAGGTATGATAATAACATAGTGTAACCTTTTAAAATAAAAATTAGTCGATTTATTGAAACCCTTTGAGAAATTAAAATAACAGTTCATAGTACACTCACTAAACCACTGTTAACTTAACCGGACAAGGTCCTCTAACTTATCACTAATTAGCGGGGGCAGGTGCCCCTTTACCATACTCAGTACGGATTGTAGTATGATCCCCGCCTTATACCCCTGCGAACAAGCCACATAATTAGTATGCTTATTTTTCGCAATTAGGGTACTTGACTTTGAACATTATTGCATACCATCCATTTTGTTATAGTTTTGACAAATAAGTTTTGTGTTCCTACTTTCTTTAATTTTGTACCAATCCTCTAGCGATTATCAAAATCTATATTTCTCTGAGGTCAAATACCCTTTAATTAAATTATACAATTGAAATATGAAATAATCATGCACAAATAAGAACTTTAAATATATTATTACTATTTAGTGCAGACCAAATTTTATGTGAAGCCAGAACATAAGAAGTGCCAACATATTACTAAGTACAGAGCAAGAAAAACAAGTAACTAGACACACTACAAGTATTCTATTCTACAATACATAAACTTATTATATACATCAATGTTTTTCACTAAATTCCCTGCAATATTTTTTGTTCTTTGGCCATATGAACCCTGTTACAAGAACTTACAAATTAAAATATGGAACAATAATATTTTTTTTGATAAGATAAAGATGTAAATTCATACATTCAACAAGAATTGTTGTTGTTAAATCAATAAATCCAATCATTTAAACACATTTAATAAGAACAATATACCTGACATTATACATAAGGTTTTATAGAAAATGTAGTCTTGAACTTAAAAAAAAACAAGTTTATTGAATTTTTAAGCTTGTCCTTATGGTGTCTACCCTTAACCTCTCCTTACTATTCTTAACCTCATGCACAAGAGGGAAGGATGCATTATTAAAATACATATTATATATTGTCATAAAATTTATTTTGTATAAATATATTCCTCATTTAACATTTCAAACAAGACTAAGCTCCAAACAAATTTTCATGCAATTTGCATACTAGATACATGACTGATAAAAAAAATTGAAACATTGCTAATATACTCAACAAGCACTACACCGGGATATACCTCAAGACGAAAACCGAAAATTCCAATAGTCTAAATATTATTGCAAAACCATTTTTTTATGAAATATGAACTTAATTTAAATAGAAAATTGTTTTGCAATATAATACGAAAAGGTACGGCGCAAGAGTACATGTTTATATCAATATTATAACAACAATAGCTACATAACAACCAAATAAGCTCACATGGATCTCCCTAACAATTAAGTGCTAAGTATAATTTATCAAAAGTAATAAGTTATAAATTTTACTTATTATTGTAATGACTTATTACTGTTGCATGATATAAATAAATGGAAATAAAAAACTTAAGAATTTGTTTTGGTTTATCTAGTAAACTTAATACTTCAAGGAAAAAGTTTAGTTACTATCTCTTCAATTACATGTATGACAAATGCACAAATAAAATCAAAATCAAGTAGATTCTAGACAAATACAGCATTAAGATAATAATCTTGCAACATCTCGTGAATTAAATCTTATTTTTCATAATAAACAAATATTATCTTAATTATGTAACTTTTAGGCTTGTTGCAATTATCCTGATCTAACTAAAGACTTTAATTCATTTAACAAAACCTCACAACATTGATATAAACATATATCTTATCAATACGGATTGTACCTGCCGCGGCGGATCGCGGGTCTGAGGCTGGCGTAGTAGGGCGAGTAGCCGCCGCGGTAGGAGCGGCCTCGCCCGCGCGCCCCTCTGGGTGGCCGGTTGGTTGAGGACAGCCCTGGCTTATTTGTGCGCTTTGGCATCACCTGGAATATTGTTATCAAATGACATAGAACATATATTAAACATTTATAACTGTCAGCCCTTACACACTCAGTTTAGATGAATAAATGAAAATACAAACAATGTTTTACATGATATAACTAAGTTCAAACAACATATGTTTAATGAATTGCTTACCTTAATTTGTCTGCCTCTAAATAATGATTCATCCATAGCCATTGCAGTTTGTACACTGTCTTTGTCTCCAAATTCAATATAAGCAAAGCCTTTGGGGTGACCATCAAATTTATTACATAAAATAGTAACCCTGTAAGAAGCAAGGATTGAGAAAATGAGGCATTAAAGTTACAAATTGAATAATGTAACCATATTTTTACTATGTTACTAAATTAAACACTTAATATACCTTTAAATACAAAGATAATAATGTTTCTATTAAAATAATTGTTTACCTATTAATGGATCCACAACCATGAAAATGCTGTTCCAACTCCTCAGCTGTTGCTCCATAATCCACATTACCAACATACACTGATCTATTGTCGGCTTCTATTTTCTCTTCCAATGACATATTCAGTGGGCTTGCTAATTAATAGAAGAATAAATGTAAAATATATACTTGTAAATTTAATAATTAGTTATAAATGATTTGTACATACTAATTCCAGGCGGGCTTCCCATACTCATCTGTTTATCAACTTCAGTTTGCATCTGTTTTAATTTTTCTGCTTCCTCTTCCATCTCCTGCACTCGGGCTTTGATAGCTGCTATGTCAGGTAAACCTGTACCTGATGCCTCATCACCTCCCTTAATAATAAAGCACAATATTAAAAAACATTATCCTACCCAAACAAATTAATACATATTTACAAACTTATCACTTTCAATATAATATGACTAGGGTAGTCATACCCTTATTACACACAGCTATGGTCTTCTTAATTAGAAAGCAAGTCATGGTATTTATTATTGTCTATTACATATTTCTATAATTATTGATTACACCATTAGAACAAATTAATTACCTTATTAGGCCTCATAATGAAGGATAATAATTACCAATTAAGGTTTATTTGAGCCAAATTACTCAAATAATTGAGCTTTACCTAGAGTTCTAATATGTTACCATCCATTACATTAAACACTGACAACAATGATAGGTGATATTTAACACATATATTACAAACTGCACTTTTAATTAGAAATGCAATAAAATTCGTTAAATATAGACTACGCCTTTACAGCGCGTCTGTTTGGTTTCCCATAGATAGCATCGCGTCTGCGTGTTATTTTTATTATGTCAAAAACTATAGGTATCCTAGGTTTTGATTTTTACCGCTTCTACTTAAATAAGTTGCAAACTTCTGGATATTATTTATATCATACTTACACCCGAACTATTATCGGTCATGTTAAGAGAACCGTTGGCTCCATCTAAGTGATTGTTCTCCATTGAATCTAAATAATCGTGTTCTGCCATATTTCACTTAGAACTTCGAATAATAAACTTATAAACACAAGTAACTGAAACACTTAATAGAACACGTATTTCACTTTTAAAATTGATATTGTTATTTACGCTTAAACAAGTTTGTTTTCAATTTAATTTCTCGAATGAATATCTTCTGACGTACCGGTAACCAAATTGGCAAAACTTTTTAATCGACTGACCTAATTATTTACTCAAAAATATACTTGTACTTTTATTTTCAAAATTTAAAAGGTTTATTTTATTTTAATAACTTTAACAAACATTGTGTTATTAATGTAATATTAGTGGATTTTAGTTTATATTTTTATTAAACGCCAAAACAAAAATTGTCATTGATCTATGACATATCACAGAAGTGGTTTGGCAATTGACTCTACTTGAATTCTAAGTTGAATCCATAGAACAAAATCTGTTCTAGACTGAGTGTCATGCATTAGATACATAAGTAAAACAACTTTGGATTTGTCTATATGTGAATTTCGAAAACACTTAGGAACATCAATACAAATACATTTTGTAGTGATTAAATTTTGTAAAACCGATTTCTTCCTGCTTTTTTGTGAGTGCAGCCGACGTTCATCGATAAGACGTTGTCACGTCAAATAGGCTGCCCTGCATAAAAAAATGATAAAAAGTTATTTATTATCAGTCTCGTACACTAAATATATTTTTAGTAGTTCGGTTTACGTACTTGAATACTAACTTTTTAAATTTTGATGCAACTAATATCTTACACATTAGTAAGATTTAAAAGCGCTCATCAAATAAGTTTTTAAATCATATGATTTTTTTAGTCAAATATATCAACGCCAATATTTAAAAGAAGGCATAGATAGGTACATACAATATAAATTAAAATAAAAGGAATGTATAATATGCTTGGTTGTTTTATTTAAAAGTAGGTACTTTATTTATATTTAACCTCCTAATCAAAAAAGGTACCATATTTTTATAGATATAATACTAAAACGTCGATAAAAATAACATACTCACTAATGCCAATACTACCTAGTGGAGGCACCTTTGAGTATTAAGCCAGAAAGGAGTCGCCATTACGCGCGTCCCCCTCTGTCAAAGTACGAACCCGCTGGACATACGCGTTATATAAAACTGTTTCTCGACCCTTCCGCGCCATTCCGGTATGATGCTTGTTAGTGTAAAGAGCTCCGACAAAAATGACTGGATGCAGTATATTCGGCTGTAAAAAAAGGTCTGACACATCAAGTGTACAAAAAGACAACGTGACATTTCATCTGTAAGTATTTTCTTAAGTAATATTATCGTATATTATAAGAATACGTGAAAATCAAATAAATATTCATTGCCGAGTAATGCCGAGTCAATGTTGCCAGTTTATTGCAAAGTTCCGCACTACGACGTTTTTTGTGGCTTAATTTTTTTATTTGCATAATTTTTTTACTAACAGATGGTACTTACATAGCGATCATATTGTTCAATGACTTAAGTAAATATGCTTTACTATTGATTAGTTGTCCTGTTCGTGGATTCGCTCACAAGTACTTTGAAGGTTTGCCCGACACTTCAAATTTTCTTATTATACTAATGTCTTTAATTAATGAAGAAAGGACGTGAAAAATTATAAAAATTTATCACATGAATTTATCCTTATAATGGTTATTTTCCTAAGTTGGTAGTTAGCCACACCAACGCCGGTTTACGTCATTTTAGAGAGGGGACACATACTATTTTTTTATCGATAAATTATTGAACGAATGAACAATATAATGTAATTATGGATACATTTTTTTAGTTTGAAATAAAACAGTTTTATTTTTATTATAGATTTCAAAAGACCCTATCCGTGACACATGGATAAAAGCTTGTGAAAATCACAGAACATGGCTACCCAAACGTACAAGTAAAGTTTGCTCCGATCATTTTGATACGTCATGTTTCTTGTTGCTGGCTAACAACAAAAGAAAATTAAAGGAATCAGCAACACCTACTTTGAAATTACCAAATGTAAGTTATATCTAGTTTCGATGCAAACATGTAGGGATCTGTAATAACGTATTATGTATTCCATATAGTTTTGAACATCCACTGGAGTAACTAAAAAACGATTAATTGCTTTTCCAACACCAATGTATACCTATTCTTTACTTCAATGTATACCTTAAAATATAACGGTTTTCAGAAATTTATTCTGTCAACATACGAAGCAAATAGATCTTTATGATTGTTATTTTAAACTAACCTTCTACTTGCGAATTCGTCTGGGCGGATTTTGGATTGTAACAATTTTTTGACTATCCCTTGGGGACCTTACACATTTCCGGGATAAATCATAGTCTGTGTAGTGTGCTTGTTCCCTACACCCCCCAAATTTCATCGAAATCGGTCAAGCCGTTAAGCGTGAAAGAGAAACAAACACAAATAAAAATTCATACTTTCACATTTATAATACTATAGTCCGCTTTACATTTGTGTAAGTGATCGCCAAAAGCATTATACCTTGTCTCCTTCAAACTTAAACACAATAACAAAATTAATTTGCAGCTCAATAACGCGTTCGTCATATAAGTATGACAGTACAAGATTGAAACACTGATTTACTATTACAAACTTGTTGTCGCGTTAACAAAGTATGGCGCGATTTGTTATTGAAGCGCAACTAATTTTGTAACCGTGTTTAAGATGATAGAGACATTTATTGGAGCAGGACTCGCCTTTCAGACTGAGTATCAAACCCAGTAAAAACCGGTTCAAACACAGAAACAGGGGTCAAACTAAGCACAGGACGCGCGCTTCAAGTCGACTGCAATTCTACACTATCCGTGTGCAGTCACATAGATACAAAGCTCAACTTACGCCTCACGGACTGTAGTAATGTTATTTTATATGTTATTTTGTAGGCTGACTTCGAAAAACCAACCGATTGCCAACCAGCGAAAAAAATGAGATTTGAGACTGAAACCTCGGCTAGTTCACCACCCCACTCATCAACTTTTCGCTCTGAGTTATCAACAAATCATGTTTTACCTACTACAAGTACTAATGTTTCTTGTTATAAATTGGACCAAGAAACACCAAGAAAACGTAAATTAAGAAGAATAATAGTTCAAAAAAACAAACAAATTAAAAGACTTCAGTCGGAAACACGATATTTAAAAAAGAAAGTTGCTAGTTTAAAAGAAATACTTGATGAGTTAACCAAAAAATCTAAATAAATTTTATCGACATTCCTTATCGACATGGTGGTAGCTCTAATTATCTCGGGATTGTTGCGTATGTGTGCTGTACATGTAACGTGTAAAGATACGATTTCTTTAAATGTGTGCGTTGCGGTTACTCTTGTAAGCAAATTAGGTTTGTGTGCGTGTGTACAAACATTGTGCAATTTGTTTCTGTAGTAAAATTTTGTCTGTGTGAGTGCCTCGTCCCCCGCCGATGTTTTGGCAGAAAAATTAATTAGCATCGTTCGAGTGATGGCGTCTCCTTTCTGGCTTAATACTCAAAGGGAGGCACCCATTCAGATGCGAATTATAGACTTCAAAAGTAGCTAATATGAGCTATATGTGTATGTAGTACTAGACCCTAGTCTATATAATTTGTTAGTATTAAAAACTCGTATACTTTTAACATTAAACACATTTTTTTTTAAATTTTATCGCCAAAGGAATTTTTATCAAAATGGTCCCGTGATAAAGCGTGAGTAATGTCCACTGCCCAGTGATGATATCTTGGGGGTTTTCTCTCAAATGTAGGGGGAATCATGGTGTATATTTAATATTTTTTATATAAAAACGAATGATACTATTTTTTTATATTTTTAATTAATATTTGAAACTATCTGACTCCGGGAACTTGGTTTCGCTATTATATGATTTTTTTACATAGCCTTCCCTTTTAGAAGCTACCAACATATTATGGAACATATTTCTGTTTTACCCCTCTCTCTATAGATTGTTCGCTTATCCGGTATAAAAACTAAATTTTTCCATCTTTGTTATATTATTCCAATTTTCAGAAAATAAATAACTCGAATTGGTCAAACCCACTTCGGTTTTTGCGCTTAGCAATATATTTTGCGATTCATTTATATTTATATACATTACCTTTCGAACCGAGGCTACAACTAACTTTAGGGGTTCTTCATATTTAGGGAACTTGAAGTTGATCTAGGGGAGACATTCCTTGTGAATTGGCATCACTGCTCAGCGTAGCCAACTCTACCAACTTTTAGGTAGATCTACCAACTTTTTAGGTAAATCTAGCAAGTCGTAGGAAGATCTACCAACTTTAAGGATTTTTCTCAAATCTACTTTACCTTATAAAAAAAAATCCACCAACTTTATGTTTATAAAATTTTGTTTTAATTTTAATTTGTTTAATTTTCTTTTATGCACACAATAAGTTAAAAACAGCGCGCTTTTGCGTTTTGACAGTTGAAATATATCAATATACATCAGCCAATAAGAAACCTCGGCTTATTTATTTCGACTAATGACTAACTTCAAGACTCTCATGAACTTACTATGTATTTTGATATATAAAGCGCAGCGTTGAATGTTATTAAATAAAGTATTTTAGTACTATTGGTCTATCTAAACATTAAAAAATAAAATGATTAGTAATGAAAGTGAAAATGAAGAAAATTCTCCTCCACGAAAATTGGGGAAAATTAATTATGATCAAAAATATTCAAAATTCTGGGAAAAAGAACCAGAATATGCAGGTTGGATTAAGCATTTCAGTTTCCGGCCCCGATTGTCAAGTAAATTATGTAAGATTGTCCATTTTGATTTTTTTGAAGTTATACTTCTTTAGGCGCTTATGAAAATAATGAAATTTTCATCCCCCGTGACACAAAATTAGGAGTTATTATAGTGCGCGAGTAGATAGGAATAAACAATCTACAATAAAAAAAATAGATATCTGAAGTTCTATGCCAAAATTTTGATGACCATAATGACATTTGTCATTTACCTTTTAAACAAATAAAGGAGTTTTAATTTTTTTCAAAGAAATTTAGCAATGCTTTTTGAATTATATATAATCAAAGTGATTTAAATTGAATATTTAAACCAATCGTGAACCTCTATAAGTCGAACATCAAGAGATGCCAAAAAATTCGAGTTATAGAGTTTTCAACTTATGGAGGATTTCGACTTAGGATTTTGATTCGACATAAAGAGTTTGAGGTTTATTCTTATAAATTAAAAAAATTAACCCTGACACAAAGCAAGCAAACACGTGTTTCCATGAGTCATAAATTTATTATTGTATACTCCTAAAATGTTTTCTAAGTAACAATAGTGTACTCACATTGTCGGCAAGTTCTTAAAGTCGGTAACTTATTTTTGTTCGAACAATAAAGATAATAAATTCCAAATGATCAATTTGTAAAGGTTGTAAAATAAAACGTTCCTATGTTCGAGATACAGAGGTCAAATTTAATTTTTCGAGTTATAGAGTGAAAATATGTACCAAAATGGCTTGAGGGACTCGGTGATTATTTCTATTAACAGAGGGTCAAGATTTCAACTAATGGAGGTTTTGGTGTTTTAAGGAAGGGAACAAAACTTTTTCGAGATTTGGAGGTTTTTGACTTATCGAGGTTCGACTTAACGAGGCTCTACGTACTAATTAATATTTGTGAAAAAACTGTGCTCATCAACCTTCCTAAGTCTTCATTACAATTGAGGTTAACTATCAGTTTGTATTATTATTATCGAGTAATGTTTTGATTAAAAAAATTGTTTAATCAAAACATGTAATTTTTCTCTAGCAAATATAAGGACAAACAAAAACAATTGAATCAGTGTAAGTCACTAAATTGAATACAAAAAAAGTGTCTCTTTCGCTGTGAAACATCAAAAACTGAGGTGGAACAAAGCCAAACTATTTTTAATAATGCCAAAGAAGTATATCTTCTTACGCGCGTACATAAGTACACGCACCTTTTTGTTATTTTTTTTTTACTATAATACTATTGTGATGTGATTTATTACTTTTTACGAAAAAAAAATAAATAAAAGGTATCACATCTTAGGGTAAGATTTTATATAAAACTACTATTATAGTTGGTAGATCTACCTACTTTTCGAATTGAAGATAGTTGGAAACTACCAACTTTTGAAATTGTATCTACCTACTCGATAAAATTAAAGTTGGTAACACTGTACTGCTAATGTAATTCCCATACAAAATTGTTTAATAACGTTAATGCGTCACGCCTGTCGAAAAGTGATTTTGTCTCAAATCTTTATTCAATAATGCCAAATCTCAAGTATATAACAAAACTTTGAACGTTGTAATTTGTTTATTGTTATGCTTGATATAGTTGTTCTCCGAGCAGCTGTCTTTGTAAGTGGAGGAAATATCCATGGTGTTTATTTAACAAATTAGCCGTGTTCATTTTTGTAAATGATTATTATTGAGAGCCGGTTCCGAAGTTTTGAATTGATTTAAGAAAAAAATGCCAAAAATAAATATCTTAAGAACATCAAGCGAGTACCCGAACTTTATGTTTTTATATTTGTAATTTTTAGGTTTTTGTTTGTATCAGCTGGGTGCATGTAGTTTATCTCAGTTGGAAATTATCAGAATTGTCAGATCTTGAACAGTAAAATGCCTCTAACGGCTGATGTAGCGGCACAACAAGTGCAGGTAAGCATCTTTTTCAACTATGATAATATTGAGCAAGTATATATTAACATTTATATAATATCATCAACAAATAAATTTTTACTATCAAGAGACATTCATACAGTGAGTAAAGTGTAGTTTTTTTTGGCAAACTGCACATTAATAATAAGTATACAATATAATCTAGAACAGGGTGAACTACAAGCCTTAAAGTTCTTATTTCTATATTCTTAGCCAACATGTAGTTAATGCATATATATGGTATGGTAATGGTGACTACACTATGAAAAGATTACAGGAAGCCATAACAATAAATTAGAAGTTTAACCGAGAATTTCCTTAAAGCTAAACAGGCATGGTGATTAAAACTTTTAATTTGTTAAAGAGTTAATAAACAAAAATCTTTATGATTGTAACACTGCTACTTAAAGATTTTATAAAATGATTGTTGTTGAAAGTGAAATAAGTTTAATTTTGCTTCTGGAAAACCACTAATGTATTACCTAAAATGTAATTGTATTATTACTTTAAAAATTAAATTGACTATGCATTTATAATTTTATATAGTGCATAAAGAATGTTTTGTTACTTTTAGGAGAGACTGCGATCTATGCATAGATTAATATATGATATAGAAGCAGAAAGAGGTCGTAATGAACAATGTATTGAGAGTATACTTAGAGCTGAGAAGACAGCAGAAAACTCACCAACTGCTGAAGATTCTGGTTCATCACAACAGGTATGTTTTGCTTACTTGAAATTATCATTATAGTATAAACCAAGAACAGTGGTAGTTGTATATTTTATAGAATTGGTAATTAAAAAATTGTTAAATTTATTAAACAGTGCATCAGTAAAGACTAACCTAACTTACAACTAAAAATAAAATCCTATTAATATGTGCTATTTGTGAAAATAGTATTTTATCCAACCTTTACTGTGGTGCATAACACTTGTATACTTGTTACTATTACTTAAATAAGGTTAGAATGGGATATAATTTAAATGAAATGGCAATGTGAGAACTAGCTTTTATCTTCCAAACATTTTCCTACTTAAAAAGGTGGTCTATTGTTTTCTCAATAACTCTACTAGTAAGTGGAATTTATATTAAACATAAGACATCATCACTAATGTTGTAATGGTGAAGGTAATTTGTATTTTTGTATTCGTGACAAATAAACACAAAAATTTACTGGGTAAATTACAAAATTTAATTTACCAGTAGAATGCTACAATATTCAAAGTGACTTTGGGTACATGTATTCCCAAAATTCCTCATTGTGTCTATCTAATATTAAATGTTACAGCAAATGCAGTTAAAGAACCTATACAAAAATGGTTTGAATGCAGCAGAACAGGAAGAAAGAGTTCTGCGAGCAGCGTTATCAAGGATTTATGAAATTCGGGCCATCAAGAATGAAAGAAGAATTCAGGTACACAATTGTGCTGCAGTGATATATAACAATCGATATTTATGCTTATATATATTTATCCACAAACATACTATTGAAATAATAGCAGAATTTGCTAAGGGTGTGTCATTTGCGGCCCATTCTCCAGATGTGGACGCACCCTTATACAAAAAACTTAAAAAAATAGAAGATAAGAAATAATAGTAACCTATCATTATATTAGAGGGCCCTATAAGTTTTTGAATTTGTAATAAAATAGTTTAGGTTAGACTTTTGAATAAACATACTTACGGTTTCAATAAATTAAATAATGTTTAGGCACATTTTTTAAAACTAATTTATTACATGGGTCTCCTTTGGACTCCTTTCTCCGCAATTAGACTCGTAAATGGTCCGTTGTGCGTACTAATTTATTACATGACCATGGATACAAGTTCTTCAGTCGGACGTTTATTTATTTGTGCCCATGATTCCTCATTTGTGCTAAGATAAAAGAAAATGTTGATTAAAGTTAGTACTGTGGTTGTTAACAAGGTTACAATTTTCTTTCCATAACCATTTCTGTGAATGATTTATACTTCATTTATGTTGGTTTTTATTTGTACAGACTCAAACTCAAAATAACTTTATTCATATATATAAACTTGTTTACCTATATCAATAATATATATATTATTCATATAGGTAAACAAGTACACTTATGAACATCAGAAAAGAAGTTAAACTAATTCTAAATTTACATTTTCTACCAGTTCGCGAGTCAACGGCGTAGAGCGGGCAAGAAACTTTCCGCCACTCTTTTTAATCGCTAAGTTTTGAGTCATACAAAATGTTTGAACTTAGATTTTAGTTTTCTACCGTGTTTTGTTTCTTCTGTGCTATAATGTAAATAAATAATCCACATTCGTTAGGCAAGGCACGCGGGCAATAAAGAAACGATAGGTTGTGGAGCCCTAATGAAAATGCTGCTAAGCGCAGCGCAGACTTTGCCCCTGCATGTGGGCAGAGTGGGTGAGCGTGCGCCCCCCTTGTGCGGGGCTGTTCCAGCTGATGGAGGTCACGTGGCACGTGCCGGAGACGCTGTTGCAGCTTTAGTTCGAGTCTCCGACAAAGAGGAGAATTGGATATTGGCTGAGGCAATTATTTATTAAATAATGTATATATACTTAAGAACCTAAAGTATGAAAAATACAAATTTTACATTCATGCACATGAACAAAGATATGTGAAAAATATTAATTATAGAAAATTAAATTACTAGTATGTAGTGTGCCTGTCGAAGGAGCATTGTAAAATAAATAATAATACAAAGAAATTAACGAGGATGTGATACTACTATAGATTTTTTGTTTTAAAAATTCAGTATTTTTTCTAATTGAAATATTTACAGAAAATTCAAGTTTCTTTACGTACATAGAAAATATTTTTTTCACACAATTTTATTCTAAATGTAAAATTATTGTTTAATATATGTTTTTTACATTCATGTGAAAACTATTTCTAATTGCCAGGTGGTGAGCTGGCTCCCAGCACAAGGGAAGTATGAAGTTGACGATATTGATGAAGAGCAGAAGAATCGTCATGTGCTCAGCAAACGTCGGGTGGTGCCTTTACCCCTGATGAGAGCTGATCCCAGGACTGATGAGCACGCGCTTTTCCCCAAGGGTGCAGTGGTTATGGCACTTTACCCTCAAACTACGTGTTTTTACCGGGCAGTTGTGAACAGGCTCCCGGCTTCAGCTGCTGATCCTTATGAAGTTTTGTTTGAGGTTTGTTGATATTATCGTTTTTACTTATTTTTTGAAGACTTTTTGATTTTCTGTTCATATCTTTACAAATTCTATGCGAATCCTCCAACATGTTGTCTCGAGAAATGTACTCGACACATATAAAAATGAAAGAAGGGAAGTTTTAAACACTGTAAAATATCAGAAAAAGTAAATAAATGTCTTCTAATCTAGTCTTCGTACTTCGCTCACTCCAGTGAGCTTCCGTCCTGCCCTTCAGGCGATTGACCACCCCGAGACGGCCCAAGCCGAGGTCCGAGTCTTGGAGACGTCCATGCGCTAGTCGCAGGAAAACGCCCATTCCGGCCGAGCTGCGGTCGTCAATACAGCCCGAGCTGAGCTGTAAAGGCCCTTAAGGCCAACAGCGAGATTCTATTAAAAAAATCTAGTCGAACCTTTTTCGAGATGACATAAAAAGACGATTTGAGCCTGACGTACAGACCCGAGCTGTAAGTCAAGTTCGGCTCCGTACTTCGAGAGCAAACGTCTCTGGTGAGAGAACATCGAGGTATTTATTTATGAGGCTAATAAATTGATTATCCGGTCATTTATTATATAGCCTTAACGTTTACATAAAAAACAAGATGAGATCTATATTTATACTATATTTTTATATGCCTTCGTCCCGCTCCTAAACAAGACTGTTATTGTTACTTTAATACAAACCAGTGGTTTTCACTACCATGATTTATATTATTTTGTAAAATGTTGATTATGATATTTCCTATATTTGGGATTGCTACGAAGTAAACGAAGATTTGGTTAAGGGCCGTTCATAAAATACGTTCGCGTACAAGGGGAGGGGAGGGGTCTGGCTGAGTGTGACAAGATGTGACACGGGGGGTCAACGGCAACGTGACGTTCGCCGTTTATTATTTTTTGACATGAGCGCTAACTCTGTGGCGCGACTCTAACGGCGTTATCCGTCACAACTGTTTCTTTGTTTTTGTGACGAAATATTTCGGCCCCTTACTTGTTTAAAGTTTTAAAAGCAGCCACTGTGATAGACGAAATAAGTTATAAAGAAACGAGATTTAGGTTTAAAAGCATGATCGTATGTCAAAATCCAATATGTTCTTAACACGCGGTAGCCACACTGTCTCGTTTCTGCATCTTATCCTTATTACTTAAAGTATTACAAAAACAGTGTAATAAGACAGCCTTGATTATGGCTAAAGAAAAGGTCTAATCTTTATATAAATAAACTTTGTGAAACATATAAACGCGAAATTAGTACGTAATTTACATAACGTGGTCAGCGAAAAGCTGAGTTACGTGAAACGAAATTATATATAAATATATATTGTGCGTTATGTATAACAAAAGCCCATTTTCAGGATTCTTCGTACGCGGACGGATTCTCCCCCCCGGAACGCGTAGCTCAGCGATACGTGATCGCTATCAAGGAGGGCAAAGGCCGAGCCACCTGACCCCGCGCCTCCTCTGCCCCTTCTCCCCCTTCACCGTCCTCACCCCCTTCGCCTCCCAACGACTCACGTACCCTTACGCCCACCGACTCTGAATAAGCAGCCCCCATTCGCACCATTTATATTTTTATACAATTGATTGACTCTGAACTCGGGCAGAATAGTTTATCTATTTAAGATTGACGATGTTTATCTATAAAAGAACTTACTGATTAATAAACTTGGAGAAGAGATAACTAGAACTGAACTGAGATTTTGTAAATATTTCTAATACGTTTTAGTAATTGTACCCAGTAGAAATAAAGGTGTATTCATAATTTTAAGTTAGTATAAGTTACGCGCAAATCCTAAAACTAATGAGATCTTATGTTTTGATTTTTACGTATATCCATGAAAATTAAAAACATATTTGTGCTTCAAAAAGCATGCTCATGGATCATTTCCACGTCTTAGTTTTATAATTATAAAATTGTATAGACTTGAATGTGTGAGTTGCGCCAATATAAATTATATATATTTAGTTAAGATTGTGAATATTCCCAAATATGTTAGTAACTCAATTATAATATGATTAATGTAGTTATTATTATATACATTAATAATTAAGATGTACTTTAGCCTATATCTTCTCGATAACATAGCAAATATTTTTTACAAGTAGATGTTACTATAAGGAAAGTACGTTTTGTTGTATTTAGATTATGTGAATAAAACCTATGAAATATATTGAATTTTATTTCTTATTTCCATAATTAATCAACATGTTAAAATACTATATTAGACTCGTGTTCCAGAACTGAATTCCGTTTCAGAAGTTTGACAGTGCTCAAGTGGAAATTGTTAATCAGCTACAGATACCGGCAAACATCATGAACAAATATCCTTGACTGCGGCGTCGGGCGGTGGTCCGCGGCGGCGGGAGAGTGACGTATCGATCGCGTGATTGGTAAATCAGTTGACGTTTGTGTCCCGTGCTGCGCAAACTTTCCCCCACTCCCTTGTTTAATGTTCAAGATGTTTGCCGGTATCTGTACCTATTAGAATGTACAAACAAGATTTCTGCAAAAATAATTAGTTTTGATGAAATCTTATCAATATTTTCTGTAACCTAGTTGATACTTTTAGAAGATTTAGGATTTATCTCAGCGGCTTTACCGGCAGGCTGAGTAGGCTGGGCCTTGTGGTGCAAATTTAGCTCAATAACTTTTTCTTGCCTTAGCTTTCAGATCAAAAACTTGACGCGCTTTTCAAATCGCGCGACTAGAATTATGGTATTTTTCATACAACTGTTCACATGTACCCGTTAACGCGCGTCAACCCCGCTCAGAGAAAAAGTCTCTAGACCAGGTGATCGCGCGTTGACGCGCGCTTTAATATTAATGTAATGTCCGTTTGCTGTTCAGATGAGCGCGCCTTTCATCCGATCGCATGTAATTTTATTAATTTTCGTAATTATATTTTGTTCTCGCTTTTTAAAATGAGTGAAATTGAAGATATTGACATCGACTTACTAATCGATGAAGAGGAGAAAAAGGTCAGCAAGTTGGAATATAGCAAATTTGTATAAAAAATATAATATAAATTGTATTTTTTTTCAAAATTGGATAAACCAATGTGTACGTTTTCTTTTTCTATATTTTTCTTTATAATATAACCACAAAATAATAGCCTCTTCCACGTCCATTTTCTACGTTCTACCGAACTAGACTGACGAGTACTCTCGCCAACGCGCGTTAGCGCTCATCATCTGAACGCTCTTCAAATTTGATCGCGCGTTAACGCGCGTTACATGTGAACATAGCCTTATAGAAATAGTAACTTTAAGTAGTACATGATTAGTTTTTTATTGTTTTTAAATGGTGAGTTTTCAGAATAAAATCTAGTTCTCCTTATTTCATTTCATTGCTTGTGGAATAGAAGATAAAAAAATATGTTTATTGCGCAAAAAATATACCTGTCGAGGCCAACTAGCTTAATTAGCCGTCCAATTAACAGCCTAGCCTACAACATTTAATAAACTGGCTGGCTAAACATTCGTACGATAGTCATTATTTGGCAGAAAGGTGAAACATATGACTTAAAAATTATTTCTTTTAAACTATTTCGAATTCCTCGGTCTAATACAAACTATTTACGTAACTCAGTCATGTATCGTATACCTACAATTTACGCAAATATATGTGTCCAAAATATTATTATATATATTAAATGTAACTAAAAAATAATTTAAAAATTCTGGCATCTTTAATTAATAATGGCTTTGTTATTCTTCCTTTATTTTAAATATATATTATAATGATCAAGAATCTTAAACTTTGAATTTATTGTAACTTTGTTATATTTTTTGTATAAATAGGTAAAACTGTGCCTTGGTTGTTTGAATGTGTATTTCGTTTTTGGCTTTTGTGGTACAATGTAATTGTTTGGATATTGAGTAACTGTAGGAATACTGTTGAGCAAATAAATAAATATATTTTTTTTTAATTTAGAACAATTCTATAAATAATTGGGTTCGGGGTTTTGACATTAAAACACAGCTAATAACTTTTACACTTTATTTTAAGACCTTATAAATAAATGGTAAATCCGAAATATACATTTTAAATTTGGAATTTCCGTAATTGATTTAAATTTGTGTCAATGATCAACTTACATACTACATACAAATATAATTAGATGGAAGCAAATAAAAGACTGATTAACACCATTCAGTCGAAAGGAACTTAAAAATAGGTAGACATACCTAAAAGAAACTTGTGATTAATGAGTTACAATAATAGTCACAATAAACTAATTTTAAAATGATTTTGTTTACACGTTTCAATATTAAACTAATATTTTCCTTCAGTGGAAAAGACTTAAAATACATTAAACCCAACGCACACATGGAATTACTCGACGCGATATTAAAAATACACTCGATTAAGCCAGAAATTACAAAAGGCGTAAATTTCGATTTGTTATACTACGCGCCATATTGTTTTGAAGTGTGCGTAAAGGGCGGGTCATAGCGATTTTTTCGGGTAGATTTTATGTTTTTGTGTGACTTAACTATTTATTTTTAAAAACTTTTTACAAATAATGATATATTTAAAACATGTGTGCGATGGTCTTGTGAGCAACGTTTAAATATGGCATACTTAATACTCACGCTCGACATAAATAAATGAGATCAATATACTTCATTTTTATATTCCATTGTTTTACGAATATCACGCAATTTTTCTATTTTTCAACGATATTTTGATGGACGTATAGAGTCGAACGGTTTCTCAAATTCCAGACACCGCTAGTATGATTCCCGTATGTCATTGTCCAAGTATATGTACATACATGTTTAGTTATCTATTGACTTAAACTATCATATTTTTTTAAATTTAACTGAATTAATAAAAAAAAATTCAACATATTTTGTCTTACATTTTCTTTTCAAATAGCAAAATATTGTTTGACAGACAAATACTGAAATGGATCACATTACCATACCTAGTGTACGGTTGTCGCTTTCATACGTTCTGTATCTAATCTACCATGAGTTCGAATTTTTTACATTATTTATTTTTAATAAATTGACAATATACATAAATTGTAGACTAAAGATGTGTTACTATGGTTACGGCCTTTCCATCTCAAACGGTAACCATGGTAACAAAAATAATATTAACATGCCCAGTTAGGCACATATAAAATCGCATTTAAAAATCGAAATATATCAAACCGTCGTGGGATTTGAGATTTGATTTGCAGTTAACTTTATTGTTCGTGTAACGAGATTTTTTACCTACTAAAACTGTGTTCATGTTGTATGGAAATTGTTTTTAACTAATTCTGAGCGTCACTACGAGTCAAGCATTGATATACAAAAAACCCAAGATGCACCCCAACCCCAAAAAACCCCCCCAAAAAAGGGCCCCCCCTTTTTTTTTGTGCCCTTTTTTTTTTTTTCCCCCCCCCCGGGGGGGGGGTGTTTTTTTTTTTTTTTTTTTTTTTTAATTTTTTTTTTTCCCCCCCCCCCTTTTTTTTTTTTTTTTTTTTTTTTTTTTTTTTTTTTTTTTTGGGGGGGGGGGGGGGGGGGGGCCCCCTTTTTTTTTTTTTTTTTTTTTTTTTAACCTTTTTTTTTTTTTTTTTTTTTTTTTTTTTTTTTTTTTTTTCCCCCCCCCCCCCCCCCCCCCCCCCCCCCCCCCCCCCCCCCCCCCCCCCCCCCCCCCCCCCCCCCCAAACTTTTTTTTTTTTTTTTTTTTTTTTTTTTTTTTTTTTTTTTTTTTCCCCCCCCCCCCCCCCCCCCCCCCCCCCCCCCCCCCGGCCTTTCTTTTTTTTTTTTTTTTTTTTTCCCCTTTCTTTCCCTTTCCCCTTTTTCCCTTCCCTTCGTTTTTTTTTTTTTTTTTTTTTTTTTTTTTTTTTTTTTTTCTTCCCCCCCCCCTTCTTTTTTTTTTCTTTTTTTTTTTTTTTTTTTGAGTCAAGTAAAATATTTTAAATACAAAAAGAACCTTGCTGTTAGGGAGCATTCAAGTATTACGTAACGAATTTTGGGGAAGGGGTCCTTTTGAAAAACGTTACGATGCGGGGCGGGGATTGAATTACGCGTTATTTTAATATTATTTTCGACTTTCCAGTACTTTACACCTCATAATGGTAACTTTTAGGTATAAAGAGTTACTAGGTGGTCACGAAACGTTTTACTGTACTAGGGTACAGAAAAACGTTACGGCGCGTTACATGGGGAGGGGGGGTCAATCTCCAAAAATTGCGTGACGTAATTCTTGAACGCTCCCTTAAGGAAACGGCGAGACAATATCACCCCTGAATGTTAAGGGTGGATCCACCCCTAAATTTTTATTTTATAGACAATTTTTTTTATGATACAGTATTCAAAAATACATACAATTTGTATGAAAATGGTCACGTGACAAAGAGTTTGCTTATGTCATTCCCATACATATAAATAAGTGTTAGTGCTTAGTCAAAAATATATCTGTTCTCAATCACCTTATATAATCTTTATTCCAGTATTTAAATAATGAAACAAATTAGGAAAATATTTTGATTATATTTTTTTTGAATATATGAAATTCCGTTACAGAATTGTCAAATTACATCGCTACAAAATTTTTACATAACTATACATATATATGGACACCGTGTCTTAGTAAATTATACGTCGAATTGATAACCTCCTTTTTAAAGCCGGTTAAAACTAATGCTGACGCAGAATTGTATTAAAATTAACGATGACTATATTTTTTTACTATATTTCTTTGATTTACTTACATTAAACGTCACTTAATTAGTCAAATAGTTTGCAAGAGCAAATTTGTGACATATATATATTGATTTGATGTTAAATATTTCGTCAAATTTAGCGCTTAGAGAGCTATGATTATCATTTCAAAGTTGGATTAATTCAAATGTCATCTGAAACAAATGTTAGTTAGTTAACAAAATTGCGTACAAAGTTTTTTTAATAAATTCACACAAAACTTGTGAGCGATTGAATAAAAATCAGTGGCACTACAAACTTTTTAGGCCTGGGCCTCATTTCTGTATCTGTTTTATGATCATTTGTCCACTTAATAGGCAAGTAGGTGATCACCTTCTGTGCCTGACACACGCCATCGATTTTTAGGTCTAAGTTAAGCCGGTTTCCTCACGATGTTTTCCTTCACCGTTCGAGCGAATGTTAAATGCGCACATACAAACAAAGTCCATTGGTCCATTGGAGCCGGGGATCGAAACTACGACTTCAGGGATGCGAATCGTACGCCGAATCCAACAGGCTGCTCAAAGCGATTTAATAATAAAAGTTAAATCTTTTTAATCTATAAATTTGTAAATATTTTTTTTTTCGTATAATAAAATATAATATATAAAATTCTCGTGTCGCGGTGTTTGTAGATAAACTCCTCCGAAACGGCTTGACTTATTCTCATGAAATTTTGTGTGCATATTGGGTATGTCTGAGAATCGGACAACATCTATTTTTCATCCCCCTAAATATTTTTTTTTAATTTCTAGATAAATTAATTTTTTTTATGATACAGCATTAAAAAATACATTCAACCCCTAATTTTCAGCCCTCTACGATCAACCCCTATTTTTAATTATAAATGATATATTATAATTGGGCTACTATACATAGCAAATCGACGTTTGCCAGGTCAGCTAGTATTCTATAAATACCTCACAAAGCCTGTCTATCGCTGACAAGTCCCTGCAGCTTCCGGGCTACTCCAGCACTTCCGCAGCGAGCTCGCTTCACCACTTCCTCCGTTTCCGACACTCGCTTCAACCCGCCCACTTCGCACGACACGAGCGTGTTTATTGCGTGTAAGTCCTGAAAGAATTAAGACTACCTACAATCACTGCGATGACGTCACAACATGAAACACGTAAAGGAAGTTTTTTCCACCAACTTCTCGAACTCTTTTTAAGTCAGAGGAAGAGCAGCACTTTCCTTTTTTCAGTAATAGACAAGGCTTCAAACAATTCGTCATGATCGTAGAACAATGTCGGATTTGAAAAAAATCCAAAATCCTCTTTTTATCATATTCGGATAATATTGACTAAATATTATGGCTAAATTAAAAAAAAAAAATTCATGTATTTTAAATTTCAAATAAATCAGTCGGTAAAGTGACGGATTTGATAGAAACATGTGATTTTTCTAGAAAACTGTGTAAGTTAATGTTATTTTTTTTATTTTGTTTCAAAACAAACCGTTTGCTTGTATGCCAATTTTCATAATAACAGAATATGAATTAAAATAGTTATGACAAAAACTAACGTGATTATTTTATTTTGTAATGGCTACCCTGTAAAGTTTACTACCTATTTATCAGATCCGTCACTATTCTACGACTATGACGAATTGATTGGGGTGATTACCAAACCCAAAAATATACACATTTACGCGGTAACGGCTTTTCAGACAACAAGATTAAAGCAGATAACAAAAACTCTCTATAACGTAATAATAAGTTAAAATTAATTGGTTCAACCCAATACCCATACATTAATTCTTCCCTCCCGATAACGAATAAAAATGCTAGGTCCCTTGAAATTCGTTATAGAGAGTTTACACATAAAAAATCTTAAAGTTATAGTTCAATGTTTCCCAAGCCTTTCTAAAATTCTTACTCTTTCAATGTACATAATATACAAATACGTAATTTTTAATATTAAAAAATTGTGAATTGTTCACTTAAGAAAGAAATTCCTAGGAAATTGTTAACGAAACACAATAATTCACAACATACAAAGAAACACTGAATTTAATATAGAATTTAGAATAGACTTACCTTAGCGGGACTCCGGCTAAACCGATAAGTGAGATGGTGTTTGTGAGGCGGAGGAGGTGGCGGGGAGGCAGTGAGGGTCTTGACGGAGAGCTGAGGGGCTCCAGACACGCGTTGTCCGCCGGGGGAGTAGGTCGCGTCGCCACGCGCTGCTGGCAACGGCGAAAGGCTGCTCTCCTGAAGCATAACGTAACTTTGACCAAGCTCTTAATGAAATACCTATTTAAATATTTACCTAAATACACTGTAGTCTTTATAACGTAAAACCTATACATTAATCCACTCTTTATAACGCCTTTCTCTATTACGAAGAAATATTTTCATATTAAGACATCAATAACATACTTAAGTGTAATTGTTTTTATAATCAGCTTACGAAACAAACCGTTTGAGGTGCCGAAATTTCTAAGAAAGAAACCTAAGGTCATAGACAGCCGTCTCGCCTTTGTTATTATTAATTGCATTAACACGTGGGCCATTATTCTTAAGGTCGATTTACATCAAACGAGCGAATGCTCATTCTATCCCCACTACATCAAATTCTTCTAGTGTAAACAGGCGTAGAGCATTCTTTCGTTGTTCTTAGTGCGTTCGCAAAGATTCTATAGAATATTCTAAGAATGCTCGTTCGCTTGATGTAAACGGCGCAAGAGCGCGCGAACAGTTGCTTAGAGCGTTCTAGCGTGTTCGGACGTGCTCGCGCCACTGAGCGGTCTTTTCAAAGCGTTCTTGTGTTCTAGCTCTAGCTCTATGTTCGTTTGATGTAAATCGATACCTCTAGCTTTCGTTTACACTAAAAGAGTACGAAAGAATGCTCTTGTTCTAGCTCTAGCTCTATGTTCGTTTGATGTAAATCGACCTTTAGATTACATTGCCTGTCATAGCAAAACACGTCAGGCAAAGTTAACAGAATGTGTTTAGAATAATTTACCTATTGATTGCAATAAAATTAGGAATTATTGTAATTGGTTAAATTTGTTCTTTTTCTCTCTTCCCTTTGTATAATCGCTCTATTATGAAAAAATGTTCGGCCCCTTGAAATTCGTTATAAACAGTGTACACTGTATGTATTTAGACTAATGTGAACGTCGGCGGAATTAGGAAAAATTATTATTTTTGGTCGCTATGCGCAACTATGTAATCTGTTATGGCTTTGTATATTGTCAAAGTGTTTTCTTTTATAATATGTATAACTGCAAGATTACTTATAAATAAATACCTAATAACCCAATACTCTTCTCTAAGTTAGAATATGTTTAAATTACCTTGATTTTTATTTCCACAGAATTACTCCAACTTTACAGTGCGAATTAACTAAACAATAATACCTACACTATTCAACAATTAAAAAATATTTCCCTACATTTTACAACTTATGATAAAAGAAGGAACTTGTGAACTCAGCCATCCATAGAAATTACATGAATATGGTACAAAATGGTACATTCAAGTTGTGTCTTCTGCCTCAAAATCTTACTAGGAGCCCTTAGACAGTTCAGTTCATAAAGTAAGAATCCTAAGTAGGTACATTGATAAAGCCAAGCTCTTTTGAGAGTCACGGGGTCAACAAAAAGGGTCGAATATGACCATTAGTTACGAAATTTAGCAAACATACTCCATTTTTAAAGTAGGTTAAAAATACTTAAAAGTTATAACTCACATCTCGATTTCTTCCAGTGAACCGCAGCGCAAAGTTCTGCATACATTGGACATACACTCTATTGTAGAAGTTGATTAGGTCTCCTCTCTCTGGTGAACCTAAAAAAGTTAAGAAAATATTATCTTTATATCTAATATGTAAAAATGCTGTATCCTAAAAATATTTTTTTTAAATTAAAAAAAAAAATTTAGGGGTGGACTACCCTTAACATTTAGGGGGATGAATGTCCGATTCTTAGACATACCCAATATGCACACAAAATTTCATGAGAATCGGTCAAGCCGTTTCGGAGGAGTTTAACTACAAACACCGCGACACGAGAATTTTATATATTAGATAAAAAGAAATGTATTGTATGTTCGTAATAAACTCGAAACACTCGAGGCCGTATTTGGAAAAAAAATCCCCATCATCCCAGAGTAACATAGGTTCATAATAAATATCGTAAATATAGTTCCAAAATGTTTAAAGAAATAAATTTCATTATTTTAATTTCTATACTCTGATTTTTGATTCCGTAGAATTCTGACAGCTATCATTTTTTGACATGTCAAAAATGGCAAACCTTTTTGGTCAGACACATTTTTCAATTTCAATACGAATGAATATATACATACATTTAATTTGTTAGTGAATATATCCTTTATTAAGTGCGGTGCTCCACATTAAAAGTGGTTTGACGGCGAGTGATAATTACGTCCCTTTTCATCACAAACGGTAAAAAAAGCACACGTAAAGATAACATATTTTTAAATCACGGTGTCACCGTGACCACGCACGCTGTAAAGCACGCAAAACGTCGGATAAATTTAAAATTATGTTAAATAATTGTAAATTTATAATAATACATAACTTTAATCCGGTTAAAAAGTTTTTTCTTTAAATGTGTAAAGGTTATGTCAATCAAAGACAATACTATAACATATTTTTTTTAAAGGTTTACTAAACCTAGAATTAGGAGATAGTGATGCCACAATAAAAAAAGTAATTAAAGTTAATTCGTTATTGAAATATTTGTTATTTTTGTATTAGGTAAGTAAATATTTAGATTTACCTTTTTGTAGGTAAAACATAAAATACGTAGCATTTTTTATTGGCCTCAAATAAGTCCCTATCAGTAAATAAGTGTCCCAATTTCGGTGGGGAACTTTTTTAGCAACACTTATGAAATGTCAGAATGCTATGGTATGAAAAATCTGAGTATAATTGGGTCTGCACGCATTCATAAAAAAAGCAATCTAAATTTTTGATAAGGTGCTAATCTGTCGCCTGATCTTTATATTAACTATATTTTCTAATTCTATTAGGTCCTTACATATGAAATTGTCGTACTGGCCACTTTGACCTTAAATATCTCCTCTATGGTTAGGAATTCCAAATTTAAATTTTTATATCTTAAGCATGTGCTACACGGTATGAAACGGCGGTTTGAAACGAAATAAAAGCGAGTTGCGCTTTTCGGCTACACGGTTGAAAACCAACAGTGTCCAAAATAACGTTGCGCTGATAAGACGTCTCCGTAGGGATGTGACATTCTGCATAAAAAAATAGATTTTTTATTAATCGATTATTTTTTTAGCATGAAAAATCGATTAATAAATAATCGATTTCTTCAGTAGTACATTGCAGTATTTTTGTTGTATTTTTAATTGTATGTAGTCTTGTGCTGCTGAATAAATTTATTTTACTTTTAAGTTATAGTTTTATCATCCTTTCGATGTTTTACAAAAAAACAATACATCTTCAAAGAATCGGATTCAATGTATCGCATTGTAAACATCGTTGTATATCGAATATCCCTAATAGTTCAAGGTCCGGGTTATAAAATACCAGACATAATGTCGGTAGGTGGCAGATAAAAAATCGACTATGATTGATTTTCAATTATAAAAATAATCGATTATTTTAAATATAAAAATCGCGTAAAAAAATCAATTTTAATAGATTTTTTTTTCACATCCATATCCCAAAGACATGGCAATTCTCTGTATAATTCGAGCAATTCGGTAATAACTTCACGTTCGTGCGTCTACGCTCGCCGCCGCAGCACGACTGCCGAACGCGTGGTTTTAAACAAGCGGCTAGACTGTTTCAAACCAACGGTTTTGGTCGCGGTTTGCAACGCAAAGCGTGCTGCCAAGGTCATATCAAGGTTAAACGAAATTTGGCATAAAACAACTATCCACACGGTTTGAAACCAAAGTTTCAAACCGCCGTTTCATACCGTGTAGCGCATGCTTTACTCGTACATTTGTTTTTCGAAAACCATGATTCATTTCATTTTCCCGTTGTAATTTTTTTCTTTACGTCACTATTGTATTATATCCCGCGTATTAAGAAAATTGGGCCTTACCTTCCTTGGTGCTAATGAGCACCGATCTATACACGTGATTATCAGCGAGGGGCCTCGCTCTGTAACATCTCATTATATCTGTGAACGTTCGCTCTACTTGATTGCTGGGGCTATTCGATACCTGAAAAGCGGTAAATGGAAATAAGAAGAGCGTTCTAGATAGACATGAAGCTATTTTCTATAGATTTTTAAAGATTTTTTTAAACGTAAATCGGCACAGCGTATTTGGGCGTGACCAAACAGGGCGTGCAAGGTGCGCGGCAACAACATGCGACATTTCGTAGGACACAATGCGAATTAGGGATGCTCGATGATCATCGATGTTAAAAGCAAAAACTTGGTATACGAAAATATCGTAACATCGATGTTAACTCAAGGCCTCGGCACGACCAATGCAAATTACGAATTAATTTAAGTCTTCTATGAACGCATCCACAAATTAGTCGTTCACTTCGTTCATTCTTCGTATTCTCGCTCGCTCTTTCTCTTTCACACTTCCTCACTTTTCTTTATCAACAAAGAAATAGATTAAAAGGTTCTTCTTTATCAAAATTACTTTAGATTCAGTAAGTTGATAAAAAATATCGAAATATGTCAATTTTTTTCTGTTTCTTAATAAATTTCGAATCATTTCACTGTATTTTATATCTTTGTCAATTATTTATGCAAATATCATCGATGTTGGGCTTTCGATTATGACATCGATGTTTTTCCAATATCGATCATCCCTAATGCGAATGCACCTGCACATAATAAAGCGCGCGACATGCCGCGCTATATTTGGTCACGCCCTTTGGATTACGTTGGGTCTATCAATTGCGACAACCAAGAATTATAAGCGTTTATTGCGGTGGGCAGTGTTATTTTGTAAGTTAATCCAAAACAAAATAGAATTGATTCATATAGGTAACTTAATGTACACTTAGAACGTCAAAAAAATTTATAGTTCCATTATATTAACTGCCAGTACTCAAATCTAGGGCGTAGAAAAGACGAGAACTGGCAATATACTCCCCGTCAACACAACGTACAACACTCAATCACGTAGTGTCAAGGTCATTTATCAAATAAATAAGTGTTGTTTCAATAAGATAGTTCTTTAAAGATCCCAGTGGATTTTAAATAAACACTATTGTATCTATTGTATGTTAGACAAAAACTTTTTATTAGCTTTAATAATAGGCTTTTAATTACAAAAACATTTATATGTGTAAATATGTATTCTTTTTTAAATATGACTCTTTTTCAAAGTTTATATGTACTCATTTTTTTTAAGTAAAAAAAAGGGTTTTCATTTCGGCACAATCACAATCTAAAAAATTAATTAAAATTTAGTTTTAATTCTTAGTGAATGTGTAATCTAAGGAATCTAGATCTCCGATACCAATTCCATTGCTAAGGAACTTTGTGTTTTAAAGTTATACTTCTTTAGGCGCGTTATGAAAAATTGATGAGAGTGAAATTTTACGATGCGCGCGCACCTGAGACACAAAGTTGTCAGTGTGATTATAGCGTGCGCGAGCGAGATGGGAATAAGACAATCTACAAGTAAAAAGAAATAGAATATGCGTGACGTTAGTAGCTATGCCAAGAATTTTGAATGACCATAATGACATTTACCTTTTAAACAAAGGAGTTTTAATTGTTTTTTCAAAGAAATTTAGCAATGCTTTTTCTAAAGACCTATTGTTACTTAGTTAAAAGGTTATGAAACATACATAGTTATTAAATTGAATTAATAATATAATAAAATAATAAATAATAATAATTATTAATATTAATTAATAAATGAATAATATACTAAATATTAAATATTGTTAAATTATTAACGCTAAATTTTTATTATTAAATATATTTAAAAAAAAAAGCCAAAGAAATATAACTTCTTACGCGCGTACATAAGTACACGCACCTTTTTTTTATCTTAGAAATTAAATAAATAATTACTATTTTTTTTATTATAAAGCCTTTTTAGTTAAATTAAAACCAAACCTTACCATATTAACTATAATAACTCACCTTACAAATAACATAAACAGCGCACATCAAGATCTGGTCTAGATGCCTGTCCATCATCAGCTGCGTCTGATGCATGATAGAGTACTCCAAACAGGTCCAAATCTTTCTTTTCAACTCGTCATCGGTGAGACGAAGCCGCATGCAAAGATCGTTCATACGGACCACAGCTAGGCTATAGAACTGAAATTGAAAAAAAAAATATTCTGATTTTTTTGTCTGAAAATTGTATTGATAACTAAATTGAATGAAAATTTCTGAAAAATGTATTTAATTTATTTTCCTGACAAATAAATTAAAAACTAAATTGGTAGAAAAATTCTGAATACTGTATTGATATTTTTCTTTTGATAATTGTATCGAAAACTAAATTGAATGAAAAATTCTGAAAAATGTATTTAATTTATTTTCCTGACAAATAAATTAAAAACTCAATTGGTAGAAAAATTCTGAATACTGTATTGATATTTTTCTTTTGAAAATTGTATCGAAAACTAAACTGAAAGAAAAATTCTGAAAATGTATTGTTTTATTTTAATGAAAAATATATTAAAAACTCAATTGGTAGAAAAATTCTGAATACTGTATTGATATTTTTCTTTTGAAAATTGTATCGAAAACTAAACTGAAAGAAAAATTCTGAAAATGTATTGTTTAATTTTAATGAAAAATATATTAAAAATCAATTGGTAGAAAAATTCTGAATACTGTATTGATATTTTTCTTTTAAAATTGTATCGAAAACTAAACTGAAAGAAAAATTCTGAAAATGTATTGTTTTATTTTAATGAAAAATATATTAAAAACTCAATTGGTAGAAAAATTCTGAATACTGTATTGATATTTTTCTTTTGAAAATTGAATCGAAAACTAAACTGAAAGAAAAATTCTGAAAATGTATTGTTTAATTTTAATGAAAAATATATTAAAAACTAAATTGGTAGAAAAATTCTGAATACTGTATTGATATTTTTCTTTTGAAAATTGTATCGAAAACTAAACTGAAAGAAAAAATCTGAAAAATGAATTTAATTTTTTTCCTGAAAATTATACCTATTTAAAACTAAATTGAAAGAAAAATTCTGAAAAATGTTTTTTTTTTCTTTCTGAAAATTGTATTTATAACTAAATTGAAATAAACATTTTACAATGTATTTAATTTTTTTTCCTTAAAATTATATTAAAAAATAAGTTGAATGATAAATTCTGAATTCTGAATTTTTTTTTGAAAACTACCAAGTAATACTTATTTTATACGTTTTAAGAGGGTTTAACGTTTCATACGTTTATTAAAGCTACATAGAGTTTGTTGAAATGTTTGCTAAAAAGTAATTAGATATTTTACCTTTCTAAAGAACAACATGAGCGAATTATTATTCTTCTTAGGCGTAGTGTTTGGGGTCTTTGGAGTGATTTCACCATTTGAGGATGTTGGACTAGATTCATTCTTTGTATTTGTTTGTACTGAAAAAAAAAGTTAACAACTACAATACATACATATATTATAGTACATATTACAGATATTTGATTTTCTAACCACGTTTAAATCCAGTATAATATTATACTAATAATACTATATAGAGAATGTGTTTGAAATACCTAATAACGATTGGCCTGGCTTAACATTATCTTTGAACAATTGCTTCTTCGCCTGGTCCGCCATCAACGGAGGGTATCGGTCAACCGTCGACATTGGTGAATGGATACCTAGAAAAAATTGTTTTAATCAATTGGAAAATCGTTTAAAGAATAGTTTTAATCAATTGGCAAATCATTTAAGGGAATAATTTTAATCAATTGGCAAATCATTTAAAGGAATAATTTTAATCAATTGGCAAATCATTTAAAGGAATAATTTTAATCAATTGGCAAATCATTTAAAGGAATAATTTTAATCAATTGGCAAATCATTTAAAGTTTTAATTCAGTTTAAAGTTAATAGTTTTAACGAAGGGGTGTGTTAGGTTGATTACCTACTTGCCTATTAAAAATGATCACGGAACAGATAGAGAAACCTGAGGCCCAGAACTAAAACGTTGTAGCCCCATTAGTATATATGTATAAAGTCAAAATATTATATTATTGTATACTAAGTACTAGTCTTTCTTCTCTACAAAAAATATCAAAACTTTTTTTTTTATTTCTTAGATATTTTATTTTTCAACCCCATTACATATTTGGCACTACATTCAGATAACATAAATGAAAAAGCAACGGGCGGTCTTATCGCTAACAAGCTATCTTTTCCAGGCAACCCTAGTAAGAAAAATACAATTACAGATAACAATGTAGACTTACACAATTACAAAACCAAAAAAAAAACAAATTTCCCCATTTGAAGTGTCTCTTTTCATCATATCGTAAACACATTTGTCAGAAAGTGACAAAATAAATTAGACTATTTTGTTTAAAGAATGTATTGTGACAAAAACTATGGTAAACGAAAAATACTGGCGAAGTGGGTCCATCTTTCTCTTACCTCTCCTTAACGGTGACTCAGGTATCGTGACCTTAGCGGAGGGCGGAACAGATGTATTATCCAGCTGGTCCCACAACGGACTATCTGCGGTCCAGACTAGTGACTCCAGGACTTGCTCTTCGACCTAAACACATTTGCAGAGTTAGATTAATAAAAAAATTTAAACGAAGACGCATCAAATTTTAGAAGGAACTAGCTGCCCCCGCTTGGTTTCTCCTTAATGTGATTTTACTTAGCCTACCCCTTTTTAGTACATACCAACATGGAACATTTTGCTATGGTTTCCCCGTAAGTCTGAGAATCGGCTACTATCTATCTTTCAAACCCCTAAGTGATAAGAGGTGTCCACCCCAATTTTTTTTTATTTTTTAGAAATTTTTTCGTTTTTATTTATTTATACAAAAATACATTCAACCTCTAATTTTACCCCTCTACCATCAACCCCTATTTTTTATTATTGTAGACAGTTATTTTTATTGAACTAAAAAAATGTTTCTTAGAAATAATATACATGGCAAAGCAACGTTTGCCAGGTCAGCTATTTAATAAATATAAATATCACGAAACAGATACAGCAATCTGAGTGTTGTAGCGCCACTGTTTCTTATTGTTCCAATGAAATGTAAGGTACTTACAGCATTTAAATGTTTGATGACATCTCTACTTAGCTTCTCCACCACAGCCTTAACAACCAGCTCAATAATCTTGTAGAAGTGGAAAGCGCTAAGGTTGTATATTTGCAAGACCCGTGGGAACCTTAGCGAATGGACCCCATACGAGTGTAGCACTACCTCAGTACAACACGCGTAAACTGTCAACTGATATGTCTCTTGTGATAATAGAACCTGAAAATGTATAATTATAAAAATTTGACTCATGACTTAACGTCAAAAATCTATTGGATTTGAAATACGGAAGTCACTTAGCGCTAAGCATGACTCCTGAAAACTAAGGAAAAATAAGAGAAATACTAAGGGCGAAGTGATTTTTAGTACCGCAAAAGCACACAAAAATTCGCGATCATTTCTAACACAAAAACTAACCAATCAGCGCCCGAGGTGCGATCCGTTTGACAATTTGACGGTTTCACTTCGATAGATTACAATCTACCGAATAATAATACGTTAAATTGTAAGCAGTACGCTGAGTTTCACAATCTTTCGACAGTTTATAATCTCGCGAGATAGATTACAATCTAACGGTTTTTACAATTTTACTTTAACATATACATACTATTTTGTTATAGTTAAAACATTAAATCAATTAATTTATTTAAAATTTGTGGCCATTTCTTCTACCCCGTAGTGGCAAATAAATTCCTACTAATACAAATTTAAGCTATCTACGATATATACACTTCAAAGGAATGTCAAGAATATCCATAACGCTAAATAAGCATCATGAGCGTGTGCTCATATATCATACCATACATACATTTCTGTATATAGTATTCCATCTTTGGCTATATTTTACTTTGTTTTTTAATTTAAGTTTTAGCTGTAGGACGAAATAAATAAATAATAAAGGCTCCGGAAATAAAATTTGTTACTAACCTGCAATGAAACCTGTGGCTTCTTCCGATGCTCCTCGCGTAATATATGCTCAAAGACCTTGTAATATAAACAGGTGACCATATTGCATCTGTAGGCTATGGTTTCTGAACTACATTGATTGTCTAAAAGGCTTTCAGCAAATTGTTCCATCCAAGTGTTGCAGGGTTCTATCACTTTCTTCGTTATTGTTTCGTCGCTTACGCCACATTCGCTGTTGAAAGTATAAATGTGTTGCTATTTTAAAAGAGTACCGAGAGTTTTTTACGCCGGCTTTTTCTCTCGGCCTACACCCTCCGTCTTCTTTGCCGATCAGTGGGGATTAATAATTTAATAACGTGGAATAAGTACCTGTATCTTATGTTCCATAATAAAAATATTTAATTTTTTTATTTTTATTTTATTTATAATGTTTTTATCTTATGGTAAAATAGATAGACTCCCGTATATCAAATTTGACTTTAGGAGGAATCTCGCTTGAGGTCCGGGAGTCAGATTTAGTGCTGTCTCGTTTCTGAATCTTACCCTGAATCTCTACTTTATACAAAAACGTTACGAATCGTAAGTTATTACGTTAATTTATTAAGTACTATCAGGAGGTGTGCATGGAAGTTGCCGTAAGAGGTTACATGGTTAAAAATGGTAACCATAGTAACCATGGTAACAAATATCGTACAAACTTAAGTCTACATTTTACAATAAAACTTGTTTAAGATTAATTTTTTCATAATGCCCAAAAAATTGATCCTTTAGTAGTAATAGTAGAGTGTAAGAAGCTGTACCTAATGCCTTGTCTACAATGCAATTGTCTTGAATTTATAAAAAAAATAGCATTAGATATATTAAACAAACTGAGATATACCAACTCAGGGAACTGTACAAGTTTTATTAATTCACTAGTTTTTGATAAATATGAATATGCGCGTACCTATATTATAAGTGTATAAAATGCGTATGCGCATTTCCGTAAGGAACATTTATAATATAGGTTAATTATTAAGGTGAACGAAGTTTTTAAATGACAAAGCTATATTTAGACGGTCTTGAAAACCTAAATTAAAATTGAAAATTACATATATTAAATGAAAACTTTAAAGAAAATTTAGTACTCACGCAAAAAGTTTCATAAGACAAGCGGAAGGTTGCGGCTTCGATTGCCTGAGGAAAGACGCCAGTCGGGCTAAACTGTTGTTTGCTTCCGACACTGGGGTAAGCTCTTCAGCTCTTCGTCCGAGGTACCTCCGCCCCGTTAAGGGCGTGTCCGGGCAGCCTTTGTTACTCTAGACAAGAAGGGAAGAATGAAGGCACCGCAAGTATGGTGCAAGTATAAAAGGTAAATATGACAGATATCTAATGTAATGGGCGAAACAGCTCTGGTGTTAGTACAAATTCCTTTTAATTCCCTTTTTCCTAGAACTTTTTAATGTTATGGAAGTTTTATTATAATTATTATCTTTAATTAATCATATATCAATAATTAACAGTATAATTACGAGTGTCTTGTCAGCCTTTGAAGATTTGGTACGGTCTTTTCTTCACAGAGTCAAAAAAGAATTGGTTCCAAATAGCGGTGCATGAAAAACTTTGATATTTGACCATATAGACTTAACATTTATTCATTAACTTAATTAATATGTGATATTTCGCAAACTTACTGGTCCAAAATTGGCTATAACTTGTGATATTTCCGTGTCGGACACTTTCTTGATAGTACCGATGTGTTCTTGAGCGTGGTCACCTGCAAAAGAAAATATCTTATAAAGGGCCGTTCAAGTATTAAGCAGATTAACTGCAATTTATTCCCCCCACCCCTCCTCTCGTCAGCAAAAGTAAGCAAAGCTCTCAAAAATAATAGTATATTTTTTTGTAGTAATCCTCGAAAATGCATTTCGTTTACAACCATAGACAATGTGTGGGTAATATGTGTAAAAAAGTAAATCATAAGAAAATCAAATCGAGTCCAAGCGCTTTTGACAATTTGTCAAATATGCTTAGCGCTAAGTGTCGGCACTCGTCACATCTAATCTGTAGTCACCCATTGATAACGTCTCATTGTAAATTAAAGACCGTATTTAAGATATATCAAATGTAGAGGCAATACTGTGAGCTGTCAAACTATTTTTTCTATATAAAGCTAAACACGTGATGATAAAGACGAGATTGCGATTTGAAATGCGAATTAGAATGACCTAAAGGTGCGTCCACATCTGGCGAATGCGCAGCTCGCGATCCGCTTGCGAGCTGCGCGCGTGCAGTCACGGCAATGGTTATGTGCGCCTTTTTAGCGCAACTTGTGCAAGGCTCGTATAAGACGCGCACGCACTCGATTCTCTTACAGTTCCGTTTACTGGCGTGGGCGGAAGGAAGACGTGAGCCGCGCTGATTGCGTACGGCACTTAGGTTGCGCGCGGGCCGCGCAGGAGCGGCACACGAACAAAAATGCACGCGCGCATCTTGCAAAAAGTTCGAGAGCTGCACATTCGCGGCATATTTGCCACATGTGTACGCACCCTTAGAGTCATAATAATAGTAACTAGAATATTAACAATAAATGTCCATACTACGAAATGAACACTTTTTCGTGTCTATACTTTTTGAATAGCCGATATCCAGGACCATACTAATTTAAGTAAAATACACGTTCATAATAGCTATTTAACCCAATTAATAAATTACGTGGACCTATGATAACATTTCGTACGTGATCTACAATTTGTAAAACACTAATTTTCGCAACGCGTATTACCCCGGACATAAATTTGACAGGAACAAACAAAAATCTAATTGTAAGGCTCAAGAACTCTAATATACTATATATAATATATAGAACTATAATTTATTATATACCTTCATCGTCAAAGTAATCGGTAACATCGAGTGTATTTTGTAGAACATATGAAAATATAGAACTCAACCAGTCCGTAATATCTGACATTTTGTTTTTAACTGACAATTTCTGTCGTTTTACTTTTTTGTGATATTATGGCCAGTATTTTTATATGAAACCAGTTTATACTCTCTGGGTGTATTATTGAAACGATTTATAGAAGATATGCTAAAAAAAAGTGCGTGCGTACGAAGAACATTAATGTCAGAAGTGAAACTTCTTTGGCAAACATTGATATACAAAAAACGCAAGATGCACACTCAACGTCTAAAAAACGTCCTCAAAAAAAGAGGGCAACATTCTAAATTGTGCGCTCATTTCAAATAGTCTCGGGTCGCTCGCGTCTGGGAGCAGTTGTTAAAAATGCCAAAGTGTTCTGTGAGAAATTGTAAAAATATAACGTCAAGAAGGCTAAAAAAAGGATGGGATATCGTATTTTCGGTTTTTAAAAAACTTTATTGATTAGTTTTTGTTGTTTTTATGATTTTTATTTATTTTTTCTAAATACTTCATTCAACGCACAAACTTCTATACGGCCAACTTCAATGGCTGCTTGTTCAGTGTTAGATCAACGCGTTCTAATAAGTGGAGTCGATGTTATTTATTTGTGTTTTTTTTTTTATAAATAAATTTATGTACTTTTGAACTTTTTTATGTGTAGTTTTTGACAAATATATTTACGCTATATAAAGTGTAGGTCAGGAGGTAGCCAATTTAACATTTTTTTTTAATTTAAAGAAAAAACTTTTTAACCGGATTAAAGTTATGTATTATTATAAATTTACAACTATTTAACATCCAACACCTTTTGTCTTCAGTCACCGTGACCACGCACGCTGTAAAGCACGCGAAACGTCGGATAAATTTAAAATTATGTTAAATACATAGTTGTAAATAAAAGTCATGTTCGACTCCACTCAATACCTTGTCCTACCGACCATGGTCGGTCGTAAAATTTTATTGCTTTAATTACACTGCGTTGTAATAATAACTTTAAACAATTCGCGTAAGGTTGATTTTGCAATAATATATGCTTGTAACTTATAGAAAGAGACAGAAATAGTGTTTCGGGACACTTTCGAGCGTTACTTTTATTCGAGACTGTGCATCTTGGGTTTTTTGTATATCAATGTTGGCAAACTAATTTTTAACTCTTGTTCATATTTATACAATTCTAAAAAAAATCCGAGACTTGGAGGGAAAAAGGAAGATATGTTAGGAATTTAATTGTTTTTAAAATATTAAAGGTGTCGAAAATTATTTTTTTAATTTATTTCTTCTATAGTAAAAACACGTCGCATTTTAATTTACAATTCGTCATTTGAGATTTCAATAAATTATTTTGAAAATTTCGTAGAGAGAGATATTATATTTTATGCAAAATAATTTATTGAAATCTCAAATTACGAATTGTAAATTAAAATGCCACGTGTTTTTATTATCGACTCTTTTAATATTTTAATGACAATTAAATTCATTAAATTCCTAACATATCTTCCTTTTTCCCTCCTTCTAAGTCTCGAAAATCTAAAGTTTTAGATTAGTATAAATATGAACAAGACTTAAAAATTTGTTTAGTTTTCCAAAGAAGTTTCACTTCTGACAAGTGTACTTTGTACGCACGCACTTTTTTTTATAGAACAGGGGGCAAACAGGCAGGAGGCTCACCTGATATTAATTAATTAATAGATAGATAAATAGAAATGTTTGCTAAAAAGTAATTAAATAAAATAAAAACATAATTAGCATATCGATCGTACCTATCCCGTTATCGATATGCACCTCTACAATTCTTACACACATCACATGAGACCTGTAAAAACGAAACAAAGCTACACCAGCGCCTCCAACAGTGAATAATGAAACTAGATCACTAATTAGCCATGCGTTTAAGGCCTAATTATTTCTTAAAATGGCTAGCTAATACATAGTACTTTTTCTTAAAACGATCAATTGTACGATGCGATAATTTATTGTGTGTAACGTGTAATATTAATCAAGACACGACGAAATATAACCTCCTACGGTTTTAAATAAAAGCTAGAAAAAAACCCTGAGAACATTTTTACATACCTAAAAATATTCTTTCGTCAAATTCTCCAACACTGAGCACATAGGTCTCATATAAATTGTTTAGTGATTTCACATTAACGTCAAAGTTTCCAATATCTAAAATTCCTAAATGATCCTCACTGTCGCCATTTAAAATCTGTAAATAAATAATTTCTTTCAGTCATTTAATATGATTATTTCTTTATTAGTGACGCCATCTATGCTTAACGAGAGTCGGCCTAGCGGCTACAGAGTGCGACTTTTATCTCAGAGGTCGTAGGTTCGATTCCCGGCTGTGCATAAATTTACTTTTTTTTCCATGGGGCCCTTCAAGTATTACGTAAGCAGATTTACTGCAATTCCCTCCTCTTGTCAGCGAAAGTAAGCAAAGCTCTCAAAAAAAATAATGCATAAACGTATGCATTTTTTGTAGGAATCCTCGAAAATGCATTTCGTTTTCAAGCATAGACAATGTGTTGGTAATATGTATAAAAAGTAAATAATTACTGTTGACGTAATCACCAAATAAGAAAAATCAAAGAGACCCCCATCCCCTCCCCCGTGTAGTGCTTACGTAATATTTGAACGGCATGTGCGCATTTAACTTTCGCTAGAACGGTGAAGGAGAACATAGTGTGGAAACTGGCATGCTTTAGACTCGACAAGTCGACGGTTTGTTATTACCTACTTGACTACTAGATTGACCAATGATCATGAAACAGAAATGAGGCCGAGAGCTGAAAAGGTTGTAGAGCCACTGATTTATTTTATCTATGCAGTAGCTAACTTAAAACATAGTTAAAAATTAAACGCAAGATGGTTGGCAATATTAAATTTAATTAAGTTTTATTGGAATGCTTTTGCGCAACTCGGAGCATGCCTTATAAACTTAGTTAAGTGAGGTTCAAAAATGATGAACATTTGTATTTTTATTATTTTTATATTTAATCATAAACTTATAAGAATTTAATTTGTACTGAACAGTTCTGCAATTTAATCATTATGGAAAAGTGTAATTTTAACTTTGTTGCTATTACTTTATTGACCCCCCCCCCATGTAACGAGCCGTAACATTTTTCTGTACCCAAGTATAGTAAAACGTTTTGTGACCACCTAGTGACTCTTTATACCTAAAAGTTACAATTATGTAGTGTAAAGTACTAGAAAGTCGAAAATAATATCAACGCCAATAACGCGTAATTCAATCCCCGCCCCGCATCGTAACGTTTTACAAAAGCCCCCCCAAAATACGTTACGTAATACTTGAACGCTCCCTTACTGATATGTCAAGATAAAATAGTAATAGAAAAAAAAACACTTACTCCTTTTTCAAAGAATGATTTGATAACTCTATTCCAGCTGTAGTCCTTCATAGTCCTGGCCTGCACTGCAAGTCCATCTTTAAGTTCGCACAGTACTGATATTATACAGGGTGGATGATTTGGTTGTTCATAGTCATCTTCTGACCAGTCACTTGGAAGACCTGTATCGATATAAAAAAAACAAAATAATAAGAATGTGAATGGTATTTTGTGTGTTGGATAAAGACAGACAGGGTTACTCTGTAATGTGCTGCATTACAAAAATTATCATAATAATGCGGGCTTGGCACTCTCTAACAGTAATGGGAGCAATTTTCATTTATTTAACAATGAATTAGAAGAGAATGATTAGAGAATGATTCTTTAGAAAATATTTTAAAAATAGTTCATAAAACATCAATCAAACTAAATGATGTACTGTACCAATTTTGGAGGAGTTCTTTTAATGCAAAAAATTGTCAATAAAAAGTCAAATCAAAATCAATATTAAAGTGGGAATCAGGATCAGATATACATGGTAAGGTTTAGTTTACACAGAATTATTAATTTCTTGTTGCCAATAAAAAAAATCCCAGCCTATAAGGAAGTTTTAGGTCTTAATAACGAGGTTTATTAAAGGCAGAAATTTTAATCAAATAAAAACTTATGCACATACCTCTAAAATTGGGATTCAATATATCCCTTCGGTCTGCCATAAATGCATTAGCATACATAAAGTCTAAACAAGACAAAAGCAAATGGTACATGTCCACAAGATCATCAGCTGAATTGTGGAACTCTCCTTTTACACTTATGTAGAGGCACCATGTGAAGTTAAATAATGCATTGGTACTGCAAGGTTGAAGTCTGTAACAGAGTTAAGAAATAGATTTATAGATAGTAGTAGATACTTCTGTATATATTATGGGCTGATCTTTAAAGCATTAGAAAAAATTTGGGCTACTAACCTATCATTATAGACCAACTACATTCTTAGAAATGGATTATTAATTTCACCAAGTATAAATAAACATTATTAGAATTAATTTGTTAACTGTGAGAGTACTAAATGATTATGATTATTTGATTTTTATTTATTATGTACAATGCTAGAAGGGAATGTTTACTTCATGCTATAGTTAGATCTAAGATTAATTCACAATTATTAAATCAAAATTCCAATTTATTTATATTTGTAACCTATTTTTATTATGAATACTGTTTGTATATTATTATTAAAAAAACTTACTTATGTTTTTTGCTACTTTTTGTTTTTACTGGTTCATTTGTTAAGCCCATGAAGATTTCTTGAAACAATGGTTGGAATTTTCTAAATAAAATTGTTGATACAGCAAATTTGTGCTCTAATCTACTGATTTTGTCTTTAAAATCAGATGGCATTAAAGTCATATCCATCCAGTTCTTAATTTTAGTGAAAAATTGAATGAGACTGTAAGACAAAAATACAACTGTTAAACATTTGTATAACATCCATTATATACTTATTAAGCATGTGTTTAATTAATTAACATAATACAAAACTAGAACTTTTAATGTTATTTTCCAAGCAAGCACAGTTTGGCATTATCTGCAAGATTTTCAAATATTTGAAAATTTACAATAAACATAAAACTTACCTTATATTACATAATCTAAGTAATCTTGTTAAACTAACACAGTTCCCTTTTACTGCCTTCCCTGATTCAACTGTAGGTGTGATGGATGTTCTGCATGCAACATAGAGTGCACATGCCATCCAATGTAGTGAGTCACCCTGCAACAAAAATATAACTGTTTATTGAATTATTCGCGACAAATAATAATATAAAAGTAGAATATTAAGGTTAAAGAGCCAATGAACAGTAAAAAAGTAAGAGCACGATATGCATGTGTAAAATGACTATCATGAAAACAAAGTCTTTTGAAAGTTTATTTTAAAGAAAATTAATTTGTAATACTCACCTCTAAAGAAAAGTTTCGCTTTATTTCAGCAAATGAATCCTTTGATTTTTTTGTAGCCCCTGGATCTACATTTAATTGCGAACATAGATTGTCCATAGCAGCAATCCAATTTTCGTCACTTTCTTCTTGATTAGACATTTTTCTTGATAAAAGTATGAATGATTAACAACCAATAATGTACCATTAAATAAAATAAAATCAATATGATACAGCCGTAAACTTATCCCGATTTTAGCTTTTTTGACAGATACTTGGCGGGAATAATACACATTACATTACACTCCCTGTTTAGCACTCGCGCGGGACACTTAAGTGACAACCGACATTAGTTTTGACATTTTCGATACAAGACTGACAGTGAGACTTTGTGATATGGTGACAACTAACAGTTTACAGTTAAGATATTTTTATTTTGAATTAGAAAAACAATGGCTATAGAGCCAAATACGAATTCAATTTGGAATTTGGATAAATTTAAAGATAGTGGCTTGAATTTTAGCATTTTTCATAATAATTTATGTGCTTAAAACGTGACAAAATTATCTGAATTTTGTATTTAGTTGTAAATTTTAGTATATATTGCAATCATGATTCTCCGATTTTACAGTAGTTCTTGTGTGTTATACAGCATGAAGAAACAAGGAATGAAGTTACATAAAATGTTAAATCCCAAAAATAAACGGTAAATGTATGATACAAAAAGTCGTACACTACTAAAACAGCAAAAATTATTTATAGGTTATGTTTGTTTTAGGCAGTGGTATCCCTCTCAGACCACAGATTTAAATATACTTCCCACTCTCAATACATTGACAAAAATTCAAAGAGTTCCCGATAATCAGGGAATACGCAGAGTAGCTGTTTTAAATAAACTATTTATGAAACACATAACAGATATAATGTCCACTGGCACTGTGTCAATGGATATTATTGGACGAGGAATAGAAATATCTAAGGTGATAGATATATATATAGATTTTCAATATATACCTTAACATAAACTCACATTATGTATGCAATCATTCATAGACATATATAGACAAATGATATATGTATAAAAAGACAACAGAACTGAAGGAGAAAAACTTTTAAACATTACTTTTCTCAAATGGTTCTTTGGATAATCCTTTTTGAGTTAGAGGGAACTAAATATCTTATTTGAATTTGGCTTTGAAATGTTTTGCAGGTGAATGTTGCAAAAGACTTCAAAACCATCAATATTTTCTGGATATGTAAAGGTGACGCAAGTGATGAAGATACAGATAAACTATTGCAGACAATTGCAGGGCCCTTGAGACATGAGCTATCTACCCTCAGACTTATGGGAGAAGTGCCATACATATATTTTGTAAAAGGTGTTTGAATTATCTACTTATTTTAAATTTTGATCAAATAGTATTTTAAAATACGTATTTTATGATTACTGTTGTGTTTTCAGATAAGCACGAATCTCAGATTGTTGATATTGACAAACGGTTACTGCAAGCTGATTATGGTGAGGACTACACTCCAACTGATTTGGGGGAGCTATTAAAATCTGAATTTACATTAAATCTGAAGTTATCACCAGAAATAAAAGTAAGAAATGCGAGTCTCTAGGCACTAAAAATATGGGCTTATTTAAAAAAATTTGTTTGATGAAGATATTTGTGTTGTGCTGATAATTCCGCCTATATCAATACAATTAAACTCATTGTATTAAAATAGAATTGTTAATATTTCTATAAAAAAATTGGTTACAGGCAAAAATAAAGCAATTAGAAGACAGTCAAGAAATAATTGAGGACCCTATACCAGAGATGACAAATTCTGTGTATGGTTTAGATCATGCAAAAATTATGAATAGGTAGTTTACATTATTATCTATTTTAAAGTTTGTGGAATAAAATCACTACCATAGATCTAATCAATAACATAGATTGCAAATTAACGCAATTAGTGTGCCTTGCTCTATGGGTTACATGTACTTTTGAGCATGGAATTTGTTGATTTTATTGCAAATATTTCAACACGTCTTAGTTTTATTATACATATTCGTGTTTAGTTTCACAGTTTCTAATTTTTTGTCAATGTAGCCCTTATATAAATAAATTGTGCGTGTACTAGGTGTACACACGTAAGAAGTGAAACTTCTTTATGATCTTATTTTTCGAAAAATGATCTACTATATGCAACTTTACAGAAATTCGTTAAATTAGATAAAGTTTAACAAAAGGCTTTTATTATCATAGACATGAATACAAATATTTCATTTTACCTTATTACTACGAAGATTATTAAGGAATTTCATTAATTGTAATAGAATTATTACTATCATTGAAAAACGTGACGATTTGCTACAAAATTTCTCCCATACGTCGATAAAGAAGTTTCATTCCAACGCCGATAAAGAAGTTTGACTTCAAAAAGCAACATGGCGCGTAACCGAAAAATGTGACGCGTAACGAAAAAATGTTACACTAAATTTTTTTCCAACCTCGATAAAGAAGTTTCACTTCAATAATATATTTTACAATCTTTTAATTAATATTTCTTAGCATTGCTAAAACTAAACTATTGACAGTAGCCGCAAAGGACTGCAAATCTTATTGACTAAACAAACATAGAGATACAAGTGTGACATTATTCATTAAACAAATCCTTTTCTTAGTTGAAAAAATTTCATATTAATTATACGTAGTCTTGTAAAGGCATGGGACAGGCACATTGCTGTGACCGTTTTAATAATATTTTTTTAACAAGAATATTTCAAAAAAAAGAAATTAAAATATGTATATATATTATGAAATTAATAAAAATTACAAATTAAATATTGACATCGATAAAGGATATTAGCGTATTTATTACATTGTTTACATAACGCAACGTTTCTAGTGCTTTAAAACCATAGTTTTATTTAATTTTAATTATTAACTAAAGATATGATATGGCTAGTTTTAGTACGCCATTTCGGTAAATGATCATTTCAATGCCACTGCAAAATGTGATTCAAATATTTTTTGTAGATTGTTAGCAGCAAGAAAGAGAAGTAAAGAAGCCTGGGAGAACCTGCAATCAGAGTCACCTGTAATATCTTACCGCACTACAAACACATCTCCCTCTAACATTAATCTCAAGGAGCAAAAGAAGGAAATAGCCGAGTTCCTGATAAAGCGACAGGTATTTTTATATTAATATTTTAAATTTAAAGCCTTTTCATATCTCTGCAATTAACTAGAGATGTTATGGATATGATATTTCGGATCAGGATACGGATATGGATATAGGAATAAAATTATATCGGTTACGGATATGTAATTATATCGGATTATCCGTTAGTTTCGGATAGTTTTGGTTACGGTTATTAGATTGAAGTAAAATATAAACACATGTAGTACCTATGTAATAATTTCGTTTTATTTCTAGGTTCTATCTTGTCTCGGTAATCAGTTGGTATTATAATCGGTTATATATTTAAGTAATTATTAAATACCTTCTCAATTTTAAGTTTTATTTATTAAAATTAAAATGAAAGACGACATTGTCCTGCACATTTTTTTGCAGTATACGTCTTAACGAAATGTCTCGTTCTCGCTCACTGTAACAACTGTGTGAAGACTGCGGCTATTCGTATTTTACACGAATGAAAATCTAACATGTGAACATCCGGGTGAAAGTACGTTAAAAAAACGAATACAAAGAAAACGTGGAGGACAATGCCGTGTGAACCCAGTCTTACGGTTTTTTTTTTTCGGATATCCGATAGTTTCGGTTACGGTTATGGAGTTTCTTAACATCCCTGCAATTAACACTGAATCGTACGTCGAGGTTAAACATAGTGAGAAGACCTGCATGTCTTTGATTCAATCAGCAAGTATCAGGTACAGAAGCCTGATCAGTCTATAAAATTATCAAAGAAACAGATGCGATTTGAGGCTTAAGCTCATAGGGTTTTAAGCGTCACTTTATTATGATTTTTGAACAAATTTACAGATAATTATTAAAACTAGAAACCCGCCCTGGTTTCGTATGGATAACCTTAACCCGATAGTCTTTTAATTTTCTGGTTAATATCTATGACACACAAATAATGTGGCTTTCTAATGGTAAAATAATTTTTAATACAGTTGCTCAAAAAGTGGCGTATTGCAGGGACGTATAGCGTTCGGGATGTGGGCTAATAACACACTCGTGCTTTTTTTTTACCTTTTCCGAACTAGTGCGTTTTCTTTCCCAACTGTCAAAATAATGTCTATTAAAAAGAAAAAACCAACCACGAAGTTTTTACTAAAAAAAATTCATAGAAATTTTTATGATTCATGCAAATATTTCTAAAAAGAAGCTACTGCTTTGTTTCAATATAAGATTTAATGATTTGATTCAATGAGTTAGGTTAGATTTCATTTCATATCAATAAAAAATCGTACTGAAGACTTGGCTGTATGGGCATAGTATATATGTATGCTTATATTTTTTTACGGTGGGCGCCATTTTCCAAAAATGTTCTTTGCGCGTTTAGTTGTTTGATATAATATTATATATTAAATATACAAGAATAATCATACGAAATAAATAATAGTTTATCTCAAACAGTAAATAAATATGCAACCTAAAACTTCTCCAGTTAGTATAAAAAACTGTACCAATGTATATGTGAACAATAATTTGTATAAGAAATAAATTATTAGTGAGTTGAGTTTATTGTTTTTTTATTATTTTATTAAATTGCATAATTTTTTCGCAACTGTATTAAAAATAGTTGTTCAGTACACGTGCGGAACCATCATTGCAACTTGTTCCGACTGTCAACCCTCACCTTCGGCTGCGCCTCGGCTCGGGTAGACATTTGTCGAAACTCTTTGCAATGACAGGCTTTCCGCACTTGTAATGAAATATACTATTTCAACATTGGTTCGGTTGATCCACAGTTACGCCCTACAATCTCAAACAATTTACCTCTATATAATATTTATAAATATAATTATACTGTACGTGTGTATGTCATTGCACTCCTCTTAAACGGCTGAATCGATTTGATTGAATGTTTTTGTATGCGTTTGTGTGGCGCCCTGGATGGTTTAAATTCACAAATCAGCCCGGCAGATGGCGCTGCAGTCGGTAGCTTCATAACCTTAGCGCTAATAAGCGAAACCTTATCGCTGATGAGCAAAACCTTTCTTTAATAGATTATTTCATGAGAAACAAATAAAATAAAGAAATACTATGTAATATTAATCTAAATAGTAATGGATTATAAATACAAAAAAATACCAACTTGTAAAAATTCCTATCATCTTCATCAACATGTAAGTTTTATAGTAGAAAAAGCTCGTAAAGTAGTTGTTATAATTGAAAAAAAGCATACGCAATAGAAGCCTAACAAGAATTTGTAATCTTCCTACTTTGTATTTTTAAGACATTTAAAAGACTTTTTAATTTATTAAGTTTCTATAATTTTTACATACAAAATCTGTTACTACGACATCGAAGGGACTACTCATATTATTTGGTCGTAAAATCGGTAGTCGTAACAGCCGATAACGTTGTTATTAAGTACCTAATACGATAGAATGCAGCCGGGACCTTTGATTTTGGTCAATATAACCGATATGTTGTTCTAAACGATGTCGTCGTAAACGATTTTGACTGTAGTATGAACTTCTGTATCCTTATCGTCTTAATTAGCTTTTTGTATGTTACTTTCGAAGCCTATGTGTTTACACAAATCTAAAATAAGTGCTTAGGCCACTAATTTACTAAGCTAAAGAGAAGAAGAAGAAGAAGAAGAAGAAGAGACTAATTTGAAATAACATATTTCAAATTAGTCTCGTATTATAGAATTGGTAATTAAAAAGAACGCTTTAAAAAACAGAGGCACCACCGTTACTGTGTCAACTCCAATAGCGATTCCGACGTTTTCGTAATATGCTATTTCGATGTAGTGTCTGAATATTCGTAGCGCTGTTGTCGCGAGCTTAGGATCGCAAGAGTTAGTTACGGAGTACTGGCGCAGGATATCTTAAAGAGTTATTTATAAGGTCGCTTATACGTCTTGTTTTGTTAAGTTCAAGGGTATAATAAATAAAACAATAAATCTTTTTGTTATCTTGCCAACATTCTCACTGTTGTTGCAAAGTATAAACATTGTTATCTTTCAATAAATTAATTTAAAATGAATTTTATTAACAAATTGGCCTCGATGTTCATTATTACAACAACACGATCTTTTCTATATAGATGTTTAAATTGTTCGTCATGACTTTTACAAAAATTACATCTTGAAATTAATCCTAATTTTTGACCGACCTAAATAACCAATGGACTTTCTGTCTATGTGCATTGTGAGCATTTAACATTCCCTCGTACGGTGAGGGTAAACGAAGTGAAGAAACCCCGTCATAGACCTAAAAGGCACAGAAGGCTATCACCTTCTTGCCTAGGAAAAACAAATTGTCAAGAAATAGATACAGAAAAGTGAGGCCCAGACCTAAAATGATGTAGCTGATTTTTTTTTAATAGGGGTTTTTTACATCAACGATCTACACTATTTACTTTATACATAAAATACACAATATTTTAATAATATCACAAATTCTTTATAATGTTTTAAATCCAAATCTAAAATAATTTCTAAGTTAACATCTGAGCGATTGTCCTTTTCTGTCATATCTTACGAACTTAAAATCATAATGCATAGATGTCTGTTAAAGATAATGTAATGTTATATAGACAAGGGAAAAGATTAGATACCGGAAGTTCATATAATCACAGACAATAAATGCATAAACCAAAGAGAAATTACTCATAAATGATTCATAGTGCAAATTTGTTTTGAATTAGTGAAAATGACTCGTTTGAAAATATCTTTATAACCTTTTTGAATTAAATGTTAATTAAACATTTAGTGGATAGAAATTTCTTTTAAATGATAGCTGAATGTGCATTCGACGTTTTTTATTTTATTTTTCATAAAAGAGGTCGTCCATTGAATGTGCCATTTCGATGAGGTATATAGATAATTAATGGTTGACTCTGTGTATCACTAATAGTGATTATGTAGTTAATAGTCAAGCTATTTTAATTTGTAGTATATCGTTATGTCTATGTTGTTCGTTATCAATCTCTATAATCTATATCAATCAGAAGAATGTACGATCCTTTACTCGTGTGATGTAAGTCAAATTTGGGACAAAGTGACAATTTACTATTATTTTAGTAATTTTTTACCCATTAAAAGAGTTTGTGTATATTATGTCACTGACAAAAACTTTCACCTCTTAGACTTTTTCGAATTATCTCTCGGAACTTTTTAAGAACTTCTTAATTTTTTTAATATTCGAATTATAGAATTATAATTTGTTCCAGATCCTTCACAACAAGTTACAGAGGGAAAGACGAAAGCAAGACGATACACATGTTGAATATGAAAAAATTGAGGAAAGAAATGAGGATATTTACGAATTTTGCGATGATTATGATGATAATTACGATGTAGAGTATAGTTCTGTAGAGAAATAAATTGTGAAAATATTAAAAGAAATTTAAATGAGTTTTAAAGTAGGATGTTTTTTCAAAGAAAGCGTTCTATAAGCTTCAATACAAACATGTTTTCTCACCTTTATTTTAATAAAGTGATAAGGACAACACATTGCTACTTTAGGCTTATAGTACGTTTATAGATAAGACTTAATTTGTATATAAATGTAAAATTGTTAGAGAATATTTTTATAATATATAGGTAGTAAAAAAGATGTGAATGTGTGTGCTTGCCCTGTGTCCTATTGTGAGATTTCGGGGTGATCCGGTTCATCTTCGAAGTAATACAAATATTTTGAAAGTTATGATACAGCTTCAAAATTTTCACTATGTTGCGTAATCAAAAAATAAAAATATTATGCATTCTGTTAGCTAGTAAAGGAATGTCAAAAAAATTATAATTCTATAATATTTTAGGGATGTTGCTGAGGGGTGGATTGCTCCAGAATTATTTGGTCGATGTTAAAATAAAACTCCCTAATTACTTGTAGAGAAGAGGTGAAGATGGAATAATGAATGATATTTATTTACAAAACTGTGTACAATTATACTTAAAAATTATCCTACACTTACAACTAATATTGACATGTGGTGCCAAGATGCGGAGCGTTGATTGGTTGCGCAGGTACCAGAGTAGGCGATAAAAATGCGGCGCGGCAAAAAGTTGGCCTTTTTCTGCACGCAGCCATCTAAGCGTACGAACGTGTTCTTCTCAGAACACTTCGATATCGTAGCCTTGCGATAACGCTAATAACTGTCCTTTTCAGGACAAATTATCGTATCACGACTAAACGTCTACAACTGTCCTTTTCAGGACATATTATTCTTGTTTCACGACAAAACGTTTAACAACTGTCCTTGTCAGGACATATTACCGTGTCCTACGACACGATGAAACTGTTCTTTTCAGAACACACGACCGTATCTATTCTGATGTGTTCTTGTCAGAGCACATCACTGTTTCATTACGACACGTTAATCAATCACCTACAGGATTCCCCCTCTAGCGAAGCGTACCGGCAGGCGTATAACGCGGCCTCGGCGAGTTGTCCTTGTAGGTATTGAGTTGTTCCCAATGTCTTGTTGTTTCAGGTCGTTGTCATTTTGATGTTTCAGGTTGTTATCGTTTTGATGTTTCAGGTTGTTGTCGTTTTGATGTTTTCGGCTATTTGATGGTTTATGTAGTTCGCTCGCACTTGATGTGATTTGCTTGTTGCAGGTACTCGGTATTGTATCAGTGGGCACATCTGGCTCGGCGATAATGTAGGCGGGTTTGAGTCTGTCAATAGAGATGTTTGTTTCACGGTTAGGTAACTGCAGAGTGAATATCTTGCTGTCTCGTTTCAGTACGCGATAGGGTCCGTCGTAGGGTGCTTGTAACGGCTTCTTTACGGCGTCTATGCGTACAAATACGTATTCACATGTCTGCAGATCGCGGTGTATGAATATAGGTTTTGTGTTGCCGTGTGGTTGGTAAGGCATTGGTTGCAAGTTACGTATTGCGTCGCGCAGCTGATCGATGTAGGCAGAGTCCATAATGACGTCATCGCGGGTCGTTGATAAGAAATCACCGGGTAAGCGTATGTTGCATCCGTAGGTAAGTTGGGCGGCGCTTACGCCGGTGTCACTTCGCATGGCGGCGCGTAATCCGAGTAGGACGGTTGGTAACTCGTTGATCCAGCTTCTTGCGGTCTGTAGTCTTGCCTTTAATGCGGCCTTAAGGACACGGTGCCATCTTTCGATGATACCGTTACACTGTGCATGGTATGATGTTGTACGCGTTTTTTCAATTCCGAGTAAGCGAGAAAGAGATGCAAATACTCTGCTTTCGAATTGGCGTCCTTGGTCCGTTGTTATTGTAGCAGGGCAACCGAAACGGGAAATCCAACCTTCGTATAATGCTTTGGCGACGTCTTCAGCTGTTATTTCGCATAATGGGTATGCTTCGGGCCATCTCGTCGCTCTGTCGATCATTGTCACAAGGTATCGATGACCGGTGGCCGCGGTAGGTAGCGGACCAACGATATCGATGTGAACGTGTTCGAATCGTTCGGTTGGTGAAAAAATTGATAATGGACTTGTTGTGTGGCGTTGTATTTTAGCGCGCTGACACTGTAGGCATACTCTTGCCCACTTGCCGACATCTGCGTTCATTGAGGGCCAAAAGTAGCGTTGCGTAATTAATTTCCTCGTGGTCTTTATTCCAGGGTGGCTAACGTTATGTACTGCGTCGAATGCGGTACGTCGGTATTCTTCAGGTAGGTACGGACGTATGTATGAGGTCGAAGTTTCGCAGAGTAATTTGGTGTTTGACGCGGGCAGGTTTACTTCCTTGAAAGATAAGTTGCTCTGTAAACCGAGTGTTTTAATGGTATCGCTGTCGCGTTCTTGAGCTATTGCAAGTTGATTGTAGTCGATCGGCGATGGACATGTGATTGCGTCGATGCGTGATAATGCGTCTGCGGCTGCATTTTGAGACCCACTGACGTGTCGTATATCAGTCGTAAATTCGCTGATATAAAGTAGCTGTCGGGTGCGTCTCGGTGATTCGCTGTTTGTATTTGATTTAGTGTAAGCGAAAGTTAGCGGCTTGTGGTCCGTGAATATTATAATTTCTCGTCCCTCGAACATTTTGCGGAAATGTTTGACAGCCATGTAGATGGCGAGTAGCTCTCGATCGTAAGTACTATAGCGAGTCTGTGCGTCGCTGAATTTCTTCGAAAAATAGCCGAGTGGTTGCCACGAGTCGTTGATAAACTGGTTGAGTGCGGCACCAGCTGTTTTGTCACTCGCGTCGCTGAATATAGCAAGCGTCGCATGGTGAGACGGATGAGCGAGTAAAGCGGCGTTTTTTATGCTCTCTTTACATGCTTCATAAGCTTGCGTCGATTCAGCGGTCCAGTCGATCTTAGTTCTGTCACGCTTCTTGATGTTGTGCAGGTAAGTATTTAGCGGCGCTTGTATGGTGGCGGCATCTTTGATATTTTCGCGGTAAAAGTTGATCATACCGAGAAAACGTCGCAGTTCCTCTACGGTTTGTGGCTTTGGAAAATCTGTGATAGCCTGTACCTTCTCTTGGGGTGGCTGTATTCCTTCCGCCGTGACTTGATGACCGAGGAATTTGACAGTTGGCTGACCGAAAACACATTTTGATGGGTTGATAGTAATGCCGTATTCTTCGAGTCGCTGTAATACGGTGCGTAGATGTTTTCGGTGCTCTTCCTCGTCTATTGACGCTATCAGTAGATCATCAACGAAAGGGAATACGAAGTCGAGTTCGCGCAGTACTTCGTGAATAAAACGTTGGAATGTCTGGCCGGCGTTCTTTAGACCAGGACACATACGCGGAAACTCGAAAAGGCCGAATGGTGTTATGATAGCTGTTTTCTCCACATCTTGCTCGCTGACTGGCAGTTGTTGGTACGCCCGGTTGAGGTCGAGTGTGGAGAAAATTTTCTTCCCTGCGAGCTGGTATGTGAAGTCACGTATGCGTGGTATGGGATACCGATCGGGCTTGGTTATAGCGTTGAGCCTTCGGTAATCGCCACACACGCGTAACTCTCCACTCTTCTTAGGCACGACGTGAAGAGGTGATGCCCAAGGGCTTTTGCTTGGTCTGCATAACCCTTGATTTATCATGCTCTGAAATTCTTTCCTGACCATTTCGTAGCGATGCGGCGCAATGGGGCGTGGCCTGCAGTGAAGAGGCGGTCCATTTGTTTCAATGAAGTGTTCGACGGAATGTTTAGGACTAAGCTTCATTGAAGTGAGTCTAGTTGTGCCTGGGAAATCTGCTAGTATGCTGTGGTAATTTTGCCCAATGTCTATACTGCGAACTGTAGGTATGTCTGCAGTACTGAGTTGAGCGTTAGTTACCAGCTGTGTTTTCCCGTCGATCAATCGTCGGTGTTTTACGTCGACAATGAGGTGGTGGTACTGTAAGAAATCTGCTCCCAGGATTGGCTTGGACACATCTGCTACGACGAATTTCCATGTATATGGTCTTCGGAGGTTAAGATCGAGTGTGAGTGACTTCTCTCCGTATGTTGGAATTACAGTGTTATTGGCGGCGTAGAGTTGAAACGGCAGTGGTTTTTCACGTGAGCCTTTTTTCTTTGGTCGCACGGAGATATTGGCTCCTGTGTCGACCAAAAAGGTAAGTTTCGTTACCCTGTCGGTAACGAAAAGGCGGTGTGATGATTCGGTAACGCCAGTTCCCGCCGCGGCTAGCGTTACTTTTAGTTTTCCGACTGGTTAATGGGCTTGAAACTGCACGGTGGTGCGCATTTCTTCGCGTCCATACCGTAGCGATGATGGTAGTAGCAGTACGGCATTGGAGATTTTTTTCGGCTTCGGTCTTCCATCTGCGACTCTCGTTGGTTTTCGTTACGATTTGTAGATGCGTTCTGCGAGCGTGATTGTAAACGGTGTCGAGAGCGACTGTTGCGGTAGTTGTCGCGAGGTTGTGCTCGTAGCTCAGCAACTTCCAAAGACAACCTTCTTATTTCACCGATGAGGGTGTCAATGGTTGGCTGTTGCGGATGAGGTGATTGTAATAGAGGTGGTGGAGTCGATGGTACAGATGCGAAAGGCGTTGCAACGGCAGCGATGTGTTGCGACGGCGTGTGGACTTCCATCATTTTGTCCGCGAGCAAGGTAAGGTCGTCGAGCGTCGTTTTGATTTTAAACGCTTCGCTGACAGCTAGCACGGAGCGAATCTGTGGCGGCAGATGCTCGAGCCACATCATTTTGATGGTGCTTTCGGGAAATTTATCCTTGTTAAGCTGCTTCATTTGCCTCATCAGCTGGCTGGGTTTCTGGTCTCCGAGCTCGACTTGCGACAGTAGCTTCTTCGTTTGTGCGCTGTTAGACTCTTCGTATAGCGATATTAAACGGTCTTTAATTGCGTTGTAGTAATCTGCTTTCGGCGGCGAGCAAATGAGGTCAGCGATGTTTTGAATGTCTTGCTTTTCAAGCTGTGCGATGACCATCTGGGCGAGCTGGGCCTGGCTTCGTTTTAGATCGGCGGTTGCTGCTTCGAAACTGCAGAACCAGAGGAGCGGCTGGTCACGCCAGAATGGTGGCACGCGGAGCGACAGTGAAATACCGGAGACTTCTTGGCTCGACGGTGTTGATGAAGTTTGACGCTCTGCACCGGAATTTTCTGTTGTCGACATCTTCAATGTTCTTGGTGTTCTTCTCGGGGTTGTTCTTCTCGGGGTTGTTCTTCACGGGGTCACCACTTTAGGGATGTTGCTGAGGGGTGGATTGCTCCAGAATTATTTGGTCGATGTTAAAATAAAACTCCCTAATTACTTGTAGAGAAGAGGTGAAGATGGAATAATGAATGATATTTATTTACAAAACTGTGTACAATTATACTTAAAAATTATCCTACACTTACAACTAATATTGACATGTGGTGCCAAGATGCGGAGCGTTGATTGGTTGCGCAGGTACCAGAGTAGGCGATAAAAATGCGGCGCGGCAAAAAGTTGGCCTTTTTCTGCACGCAGCCATCTAAGCGTACGAACGTGTTCTTCTCAGAACACTTCGATATCGTAGCCTTGCGATAACGCTAATAACTGTCCTTTTCAGGACAAATTATCGTATCACGACTAAACGTCTACAACTGTCCTTTTCAGGACATATTATTCTTGTTTCACGACAAAACGTTTAACAACTGTCCTTGTCAGGACATATTACCGTGTCCTACGACACGATGAAACTGTTCTTTTCAGAACACACGACCGTATCTATTCTGATGTGTTCTTGTCAGAGCACATCACTGTTTCATTACGACACGTTAATCAATCACCTACAATATCTATGCTATCTGGGAGTGTTATTTTGGCATAGTCATAGATCGTGCTTAAGTCTGACTTTGATGTTTCTTTGCGAACGACGAAGCCCGGGCAATAGTTTGTTTTAATTAGTCAATCGATATGGATAAAAAAATTAATTTAGTTTATTTGTTTAAATAAAGTATTATCATTACAAAATTATCTTTCTATCTGCCTTCTGCGAAATCGATTGTTTTTGGACTGCGAATTTTCAGAATATTTCGTTGGTCACTTCAAAAACTGATTAATTTGTTTTATTATTTTGCACTTCCCTAAAACTTAACTGATTTACTAATTAATGAGTTTATTGTTAACTAACAAAACAGCGCAGGTACAACTCAAGTAATTAAAAGTTAGAAAATTCCACTTGTTTTCTGTATCCTGGGAACCTCTAATGGCGACCTAATTAATCTGTAAGCATTCTCGACCCACTTAACCGTTAAAAGCGCAAATAGAAATGAGTTTTTGCCTACACCGTGCCTCTGTGAAGAAAGAAAATTATAAATACACGATTCGTCTTCCGATTTTGTGGTGTTTTTTGCAATTACTTTTCTCAAGATATAATTTTATTTTTATTAAGAAAATTCAGATACGGGTTCGTCGTTCGCAGTGCTAATGAGTGACTTTGTTTTATTGAAAATTGGTATGTTGTTTTATAGCTTTTGATTTATTTAATTTTCTGTTTTACGCGCCTTTTAATGTTGGGTCACTTCGTTTATCTCACATTTTTACTTTATTTTTACATTCACTCTCACTTAAATAGTAATCTTGAACAGAAACTTGGAATTATCAATTTTACGCCCTATTGTTTATTTAGAAGTGTTTTTTTAATGTATATATAATTAACTGTAACATGACTGTTAATATTATAGTGATTTAGTGGCCATTAAAAAGTGTAAAATATTCGTAGTAGTTTGCTTTAATTCTTCGGGGCAGACACGTGTTATCTGTTATAATTTTATAGGCAACTAGGAGATTAGCATAATTGGAACCCAGGATGGATTCAACTTTACTGAATATTAGTATTCAATATTATTATTATAGCCTCTATTCGGACATGCCAGTATTTTCCTTTATTTTTCGTATATTGTACTTTTCTTCCACTTTTGGGTGTCCGTTTGCCAGATGGCAAAGGCCTCCTCCAACCTTCTCCATTCTGGCCTTTCTATGGCCACTCTACCCCATGTTGTTCCCGCCACTTGTATAATGTCGTCGTCCCACCTTTTTTGTGGTCTACCTCTCTTTCTCTTTCCATCTCTTGGGTACCATTGTGTGATTATTTTACTCCATTTGTCCTTTCCCCTGATCATGTGGCCTGCCCATTTCCACTTTTGTCTTCTTATTTTCAAAGTTATGTCCTGTACCTTAGTCTTTCCTCTGATGTTGCTACTCCTTACTTTGTCTTTTCTTTTGATTCCAGTCATGCTCCTTTCCATGGCATGTTGACATACGGAGAGTTTATTTGTTACGTTTTTTGTTAAAGCCCATGTTTCGCTCCCGTAAGCCAGCACTGGCAGGATGCATGTGTTAAATAATTTGCTTTTCGTTGAATTGTGTAGGGTCTTGTCTTTCATCACTTCTTTTAATGGCTCCAATATTTTTTCCAGCCGTTTGCAACTCTTCTTTCGACTTCTTTGTTTCCGTTGTCGTCTGGAGACATCAGTTGACCGAGGTATAAATATTCTTCCACGTAGGGGATTTGGTTCTGTTCCACTATTACAGGGTCTTTGTTGCCATTGGTCATGATTTTTGTTTTTTCCGGGTTTAGCTTCAATCCGGCCTTTGCACTTTCCGATGCTAGATCATTTATCATCTTGCTTAGATCAGCTGGTGTTTTTGCAAATAATACGATATCATCAGCGAATCGTAGGTGCGTTAGCGCGCGGCCATTAATAGTTATGCCCATGTCTCTCCATTCCAGATTCCTGAAGATCATTTCTATTACGGCCAGAAAGAGTGTTGGTGAAAGGGGGTCACCCTGTCTCACGCCTTTTTGTATTTGAAATTTATTTCCTTCTTTTTCTAGGCGGATACAAGCCGAACTGTGTTTATAAATATTTTTTATAATTCTTATATATTTGTGCTCTATACCCAGTTCTTTTAAGGCTTCCCAGATTTTTGAGTGTATCAAAGAATCGAAAGCCTTACTGTAATCAATAAAAGCTATGTAGTATACAAGCTGGTACTCATTGTATTTTTCTCTAATTTGTCATACAGTGTGGATGTGGTCTAGCACCGAGAAATCTTTACGGAATCCTGCCTGTTCAATGGGTTGTTGCTCATCTAATTTCCTTCCTATTCTTTCCAAAATAATCTTTGCAAAAATCTTGTAAATGTTAGACATTAGACTGATGGGTCTATAGTTTCCAATATCGCAGTGATTCCCTTTCTTGAATATAAGGATTATGATGGATTCAGTCCACTGTTTTGGGATGATTTCTGTGTTGATCACGTAGTTGAAAATTTCTGTAAGTATCGGTGCCACTGCTACTTTCGTTTGCTTTAGTATTTCATTGCTTATGCCATCTGGCCCTGGAGTTTTATAATTTTTCTGTGTGTCAACAGCTTTTTCAGTTTCTTCCTGCATGATGTAAGGTACCGTTTCGTACTCTGGTAAGTCTATTTCTCTTTTATTTGTGTTATTTTTGTATAGTTCGGTGTAGTAGTCAGTAGCGATCTTGAATATTTCTTGTCTACCAATTTTCTTCGCTCCTCTTCTATCTTTCATCTTAACAATCCATTCTTTCTTGTTAGTTAGTTCTTTGTACGCCTTCTTTATTCCTCCTGTCTGTCTAATATGACTCTCTATTGTTTCCATACGATGTTGTCTCCTGTCTTTCCTAACGTTTTCTTTTATTTCTTTACTAATTCTTGCAATTTCTTTTCTATTTTTACCAGTATTTTTCGCACTTATTAGAACTGCTCTTTGGTTAAGGAGGTTGACGGTTTTTTCTGTCATCCTGTTGTATAGGTTCTCTTTCCTTTTGCTATGTTCTTTAGTAGTGGTTGCAATTTTATTTTCCAACCAATTGTATTTGTCCTGTGTGTCGGCGTCTTTTGTTTCATATTTGTAGTCTTTAAGTTTCGAGTTTAGTGAGTTGGCTATTTCTCCTATCAGATGTTTGTTAATTTTTATATTTTCCCGACTTATTTTTGGTCTGGGGTTCTTGGGTTGGGATGAGTTTAACTCAACTCTGACCATGCGGTGGTTGGTGTTAAAATTTAGGTTATTGATGACATTTATGCTTGGAAAGAATTTATGTTTGTTGGTCAGTATAAAGTCAATTTGGTTTTTTGATTTTCCATCGGGTGACAACCAGGTCCACATTCTGTTTTTCTTTTTCTTGAAGACGGTGTTTAATATGGTCAAGTTATTTTCCATTGCAAAGTCCATGAGCATTTTACCATTCCTGCTTCTAGGTTTTGAGGTGTATGTATAGGGCCCTATAATTGCATCCTCGTCCCGTTGGCGTTCGCCAATTTGACCATTGAAGTCACCCATCACGATGATATTTTTGTGGGCATATGTCTGCAAAGCTTTATTCAAATCTTGGTAAAACTGGCCAGTTGTTTCCATATCTGCTTGTTCTGTAGGTGAATAGATCTGGATAATGGTCCATGGGTCCTTGTAATCGGGTAGTTTTAAATTCAATAATGCTATGCGCTCTGATACACCATGGAATCCATCTATGTGCTTTGCTAGGTATTTTTTAACTAAAAATCCCACACTATGTTTTCCTGGGGTTTCCCCTATATGATATAGTATAAAGTCTGGGTGTGCGACAATGTTTTCTCCCATTCTTCTCACTTCACTCATGCCGAGAATATCCCAGTTAATGTTTTGTAATGCTATTGACAATTCCGATAAGCTTTCATCTGATCTTAGTGTTAATACGTTTAGGGTAGCAATGTATATTCTTGTGTATCTGGATGTTGGGATCTTCGTGATGACGTTTTGCTTGGGTAGAGTTTGTGTAATGTTTTCTTTATTATGTTGTTGTTGTTGTTGGTTCAATGTTGGAGGGTTTTGGTCTAATTCCCCATGGGGACCAGCCGGGTTGGGGAGATAATTGTTTTCGAAAAGTGTGTTATTGTCAGTTGGTTCCTTTTGTTTTCCAGTTGGTATTGTATTAGTGTTGTGTATTGTTGATTTCTTCAGTGCTTCTGGCTTGCTATTCTCTAGGGCATTAGTATTCAATATTGTATATTGAATTAGTATTCAATATACTATAATATTATTAAAAATATGTTTGTTATCATAAATTTTATTTATACCCCTACATTCGTGTGTGATGTTCCATAACCAGTCGTTTGTTATTTATAATTTTATTCATAGGAAACGTGATCAGCCTACATTTACTATGCTTTATAATAAACGTGATTTTATTCGCCCACAGTGCCTTGTGCGCGCACTCTGCGTCACCAACTAATTTAGTTTCATTTCAATTCTTTCATCGGGCAACATTTATGTCTAAAATCTACGATTCATAATATAGATTATACGTCTGTCCTATCATAATATGGTGTACAGATTTCTATGTTCTAGACAAGTCCGCGGGGTACTAAGTGCACGCATTAAGAACTATTATCTGGGATAAAGGGTTCATAAGAGTGTAAATAAGTGTTCCACGCATTAGAGGTACCTACTTATTTATAAGTAGAATTCAATGGATAGACATTCTGAATGATTTAGAAGATTATTTCAATATTATGCACGATATAATATTATATCTAATATTAATTATTAATTCGTGATGATTCATATGCTCTCTGCAATGAATAATCTAATTTAATAATTTTGAATAAAAAAAATATAAATTATCGTTATAAATCCATCGTTGAAAATAATCTATGTATAAAAATGTGTTTAGCATGTGTTCGGGACTCTTCTCTCATTCGCCTAAAAAGCTCGACTGGTATTATTCTTGCAAACAAAACGCAACTTACAACAGCAAGATTTTCTTCTCAGCAAGCGTATTTATTTAAACATCAAACGAATATGAAATATTGTAATCGATCAAATCTAGGATTACCTACCCTCTACCCCAGTTAAAAAACTACAATAGCAATATTTTCGAAATAAGTACAATTTTCTTCGTGTGATTTAAATAAATCTCTTCATACAGATTTAATTCAACACAGCTCCATTTACGAGCCATGAGTAGGTAATCAAACTTCCTTAACTTATTATGTCAATTAAAAATTTTTTTGATAAAGAAATTGATTATATGCTATTCACGAGTAGCGGTAAGCGTTTAACAGAGAAGCCACGATTGCTGAAAAACCCTCGAAATTTTTAGTATGTTAATTTTTCGTTTATATCCGTTACGGAAGCTTTATTCAATTATTAAAATAGTACCTATATGCGTAAACAAAGACAATTTTAATGGGTAGTACCCTAATTTCCTTAAAATAATATTGAATCTATCAAATAAAACTACATAGTCTCAATTAAGGCAAAATACAAAATCTAGCTCACAAAATAACTACTGCGCGAGGGGTATATGTTGTTAGCAGTGGATTTCCCAGGCGATCAATAGCAATCTGGGTCTACGACGGGACTAGGTTTTTTATTATTGATTTTGTCACGTCTCGATGTGAGCTTTAAACACTCTTAGGAAACGAACCCTATGTTTGAATTTAAGATATATCTGCAGAGTACAGGCAAAGGGTGTTTCGAACAATATGGATACATGTTAAATTCTGTATATAGATTTCATACAAGTATATATCTACCAGTACTGTTACTATCTAACGACCAAGCTAGCACAAAATTACCAAAATATATGTGTATATCCTTTTATGTATAACGATCCCACTGAGTAGACGAGAAATATACATTACGACAGTAAAACCGTGTATTAATTATTTATTTTGTTATTAATTATGTTTATTGTAAACTAATTATATTGATATAGTAAATAATCCACTGCTACATGTAATTTCAAAATAAATATTTTTACATATAATTCCAAGGGACGATTGATCAGGTATTGCTAATAAGCTTTCGTTTAAGTACGAAGTGGTAAGTGTACGTTTAAGAGCGAGTTTATTTTTCTTTACCGACATTAAAAATGGTTTACAAGTCAGCGTCTAGATTACGAACTCTTCGTGTCACCTCACATATATTTTATTGGGCGTGTTTTAATACCATTATTTAATATTATTATTTATTTTATTCAACATCTTACGGATGATAGTCGAAAGAATGGAGTGCCCCTATTTACGACACTGCTCCGACATCTCCGCAGGGCTTTGTACCTGATAGTTTTTATTTAACTACTTTTTCCTTATTTTTATTAATTCTACTAACATAGATCTTAAGAAACTATTGTTACTAACTCACTAATCAATCAATGGACTGTATTTGTCTGATTAATAAAAAATATTATTATTATTATTTAACGAACTGTTTAATTGTTGTAATATATTTGTAGTATACACTCTGATTAAACATAAAAAAGGGTGCGTGTACTTATGTACGCGCGTATTAGAAGTTATACTTCTTTGGCATTATTAAAAATAGTTTTTGATTGCATGCAAATAATTAATTACAATTAAATAATCAAATACTGGGAAAGGAGTCATTCTAGTCAATAAAGTTCAGTTTACATTTGAAAAATTAAAAAAATTAATATTTATTATTAGGTATTCTCTTACATTAAGTGTAACATAAATTCTATTATTATTCGAATGTTGTTTTTAAATTATGTCCAATGCCGTAGCATCTTCCGTGGGCAACTTCATTCTGTTAATTTTGTGTCACGATGCGCGCGCATTGTAAAATTTCACTCTCATCAATTTTTCATAACGCGCCTAAAGAAGTATAACTTCAAAAATAATCAAGGAAACGGATCCAATGTGAAAATCGAGCGCTACTAAATTATTATTATTCTGTCTTAAAATATATTCATATTTAAAGTTATCACAACTATCAAGTATTTTATAAACATTACGATGTTTTAACTTTATTTGCTGCATTCATTATGAAATTAATAACTCGACTATAATATGATGTCATGTATTTTAGAAAATATAGCTACATATACTGTAGATATAGTATTATATAGGTATGATTGTTGCTACCCACAAGAAATGAGGATTACAAATTGGACTTATACTATATATATATATAATAACTAGAATGCTTTTCCGTCTCTTTCTGTCAAATTGTGCTTACACTATAATAGAAGGAGATACGGTAGTTAGTATAGACAGATTTATGTTATGATTTAATTAAAAAATATGTAATAATATCAATTATCTATAAGACTTACATAGAAATACGAAATCATACCCTTATCGGAAGATGAAATTTCACTCCGACTAATCGAATTCACTCACTAATTTATTTAGAGTACGCCATCATGGCTTTTTTTCCGTCGACTTAATAAGCAAAAAGCCTCTGTAAAGGCGCCTTTAGCGGGAAAAACTTATGTTTTTTCTGGTAACAATTAAAAGGTTTTCGCGTGGAAGGAATAATAAGTTTTTGTAATTACATATTACAATTTTAGAAGTATTATTGTTGAATTTGATATTAAAAACTGACTCATTGACTGAGTCATTCAGTTAAAAAAGAGCAGAAGTGATAAGATCAGCGTTCAAAGTAGAAGACATTATAAAGAAAATAAGGCAATTGAAATGGCGCAGGACCGGGCACATGACGAGAGATAGCAGGATGGTATCTTTCACGCGATGGAAAAAGGAAAAGAGGAAGACGGAGCAAGAGATGGGCAGACGATATAAAGAGAATAGGAGGCACAACTTGGACAAGAAGAGCTAACATCAGAAAATAATGGAAGCAGCTGGAAGAGGCCTGTGTGTCACAGGACACGCTGATTACCTAAAACATTATGTGATGTATTATTTATTAGGTGATGTATTAGATTAAGTTTTATTTATGCATTAGAATTAAGTTTTTTTATGTTACTTAAATAAGTGTTAGTATATTATACTGGGTGTCAGCAATAAAGTCTTGATAAATAAATAAACGTTTCGTTTACAGCTCATAAACAACGAAAGATAAACCTGTGAACCTGTTTTCGCGTTATAGAAAAATACAATTTCCATTCAACATCACCTTCGGTTTCGTTTAGGTCGGCGAACAGCCAATTTCTTAATTCAAATACATATGTTATTTTCCCGTACCTTTATATAGAGGTCATTAAAGAGTTAAACTATACTCACTGACTTTTTTGCACCCTGTACTGTTTATATACGCTCTAATTGTTGGTCCGAAAAGTACTGATTCCAAGAAGGAGATTAAAAAACTCACGAGAGTATTCGGCCCTGAATTAATTGGGACAAGGGCACGATCCCTTGAAATGTTGAATCAAGGCAGATACTCCAACCCTTTAGTTCATACATTCGTTAAGTCGTGTCTTGTCGGATTATCAGTCAATTACCACTTGATCCTTGAAGGGTAAAGGACTATTTTCAAGACACATGTAATCTCTTACAAGTACTAATGTAACCTAACCTAACGTTGCTATAAGTCAATTAAACTATGGATTACAGGAATAATTCTATTTAATTCAAGTCTTTTAAAATTAAAGGCCTAATATGTGTCAAACAATTTGGAAATTACAGATTTAAATTATGTTTTTCAATTGTCAGAAATCTTTTATTTGATAGCGGTATAAGAAATCTCTTCTACGCAATCAGAGACAGAGACAAAAAATAGAGTTCCCTATAATAATAGTCATAGTCGTTTTTAGTACAAAAAAACATTGCGTGCGTATACAAAGTACACGACAACACATGTCAGAAGTGAAACTTCTTTGGCAAACTAATTTTTAACTCTTGCTCATATTTATACAAATCTTAAACTTTAGATTTCCGAGACTTAGGGGGAGGGAAAAAGGAATATATGTTAGGAATTTAATTGTCATTAAAATATTAAAAGTGTCGAAAATTAATACAGATTATAAATTTAATTTCTTTAATTTATTTCTTCGATAATAAAAACACGTGGCATTTTAATTTACAATTCGTCATTTTAGATGACAATAAATTATTTTGCCATAAAATATAAATAACTAATATTTCATAAATTCTCTTTACGAAATTTAATTTTAAAAATAGAATTTCTATAAGGTAATTCGCCCCTCTCATTCTCTCTCAATCGGTCTCAATCGCTCTCTCCCTTTTCTTCGACAAAAACGCTGCACATCTTCGTGACGCTAATATTAATGTTTCATCCGTAAAAAATTTACCCTCATGCGCCTTAAGAAGTCTCACTTCAAAAATATACCTCTTAAATAACCTCTGTTAGTTAATAACGCTTTTGGTAATCATGTCAAAGGGTTTCGGGTTAGACCCCCGACGAAACAATTGTTTCAAGTTAGAGGATATAGGTTGGTCACCTTTATTCCTTGAAACAAGATCAAAGAAAAGAGCGTTCATTCTTAAAAGGCCGGCAACGCACTTGCGATCCCTCTGGCAGTGTCTCGGGTCTATCGGCCGCGGTATCACGTAACATCAGATGAGCCTCCTGCTCGTTTGCCCTAAACTAAAATTCTATTACAATACTGGTTTTGTCCCCGCATGAAATCCGCCGCTATATTTCGACATTATCGAAATGATATGTTTAATAAATCACTTTCTTTATCAATTAACTAAAAATTGAAGAAATACAGAGAGCCCGTATAGACTTAGGTGACGAATGAAGACAAATTGGCTTAAGTAACGAAAGAGAAATGAGGGGCAGACGAATGCTCAATCGAATGAAACTAATCTCGTAATGGCTACTGCCGTGATTGATAATAAATTGTATGAGATACGCTTGTACAATCCAATGAATAGACTCGTATTAGCCTGTAAGTTTCTCTTTGTTATATTTTTGGACTTGTTTCCTGCTTATTCTTAAGAAAGAGTGTAAAGTTAAAAACGTTTTAATTAAGGCCACGTTTATACTTAACCCACTATCTCATCGTACAAACAATGCTGCAATGTTATCGACGAGGGAAGGTCACGCAGCGATGCACAACAAATGCATCATCGTGTTTAATCAAGCGCTGTATTACGTCTTGTAAATAGGAAATTCGGTAAAAATAACAATCGCCTCAGCTCGCCATTGCAAAACCTGTTGTTTTATTCAACAAGTCGCAACTTTGTCAGAAATTGGAATAAACTCGATCGCTCCGCTGAAATTAATCATACGTTTTGGGTCTAGGTTTCACGACTAGGCCGTTAACATAACAAATCATATTGTTAAAATATCGGATCAAATTATATATTCACGCACTTACACCATCGATCCCGTTGCCAAGTCACGTTCGGTTTGAATTACGCAGCTCTTTGAGTTTCGGGACTAAGGTTTGCGCCTATGGTTTTTATGTTGGCCACGGTGTAATAAAGTTAATCCAGGTCCTGTGTAGTGCATTAGAGAGGGGCGAGAGAGGCGCGGGGTTCGCAGGCGGCCACCTGTTCGGCGAGCGCCCGTCGCCCCCACGGCCCTGCGCCCGCCGCTGCCTCTGCCGCCCCCCGCCGCCGCCCGGCACCCTCGATGCGCGCGCTTCGCCCTTCCCTCCAGTCATTCGTTTTGCGACGCGTTGTCTCGCCGGCCGGCTTCCGCTTCATTCGCCCGGGCTCATTCGTACCGCGTACGCTCCCCGTAGCACCCGATAGCACATTTTAACTACAGTCATGACAGAAAGCACGGACACACCCGCGGCCGCAGCGGCAGAAAAGACCCCAACTGAGAATGGAACCACTGAAACGCCACCAGAAGAGACGCCAGAAAAGGCCACAGAAGAAAAAGAAAAGGAGACCCCTCCGCCGAAGGAGATGCGCGCCGTGGTCTTAACCGGATTCGGTGGTCTTAAAACTGTCAAAATTCTTAAGAAGCCAGAACCCACACCGGCCGAAGGCGAAGTTGTCATTCGTGTAAAAGCTTGGTAAGTATTTTTAAATTATTTTACCAATTTCTCGAAATACGCAATATATGTATACGGTCTAATCTACATTGGCGTTTTCTCCTCGTTAATTTTAATTTGAAATTGTTTTCCGTTCTAAATGAATTATCACCACGTTAATTAAATTGGCGCTCGATATTTCGTGCGTTAGGCGCACGGTAGATTCTTAAAACAAGTCCCGCTTCAAGCCGGCATGCAGCTTCATTAACATCTGCCGAGTGCCGAGTCGTGTTTCAAAGCTAATGTGCCCGATTGAAAATTCTGCACACACTTGCATCGACTTCGTCCGCCAGTTGCCGCCGGGTGACGCGCCCTAAGCGGATTTACACTCTAACGACCATAGGCAAAAGCATAATCGACGATTTAATATTTTCATTGTTGTTCATAGAGGTGTTTTTTAAATTTTCTGTACTCCCTCCCCCTTAGATGTCGTGAGATTTTATTCAACCCCTCTCCCATCCCCCCAATCTCACGAGATTTTTCAAAATGTGGGTTTCTTAAGAAACCTGGATTGTTATTGTCAGTAAAAAATTGCTTCGTGCTTTTATTTTCGACTAAAACAAAATAAGTGAAATGTTGAGCTTTAGGTATGGAGTTAGCGGAAGTCAGGCCTTTAGTCAACCTTTCGTGTTTTTTTCAATCAGAAAAATAATTGCTGATATTTGCCAACCCCCTCCCAAAAGATTTAATGAGATGACCACCCCTTCCCCTTAAACACCTCACGTAATTTATGGACGCCCCTTATAGAATTCATTCCAAGAACCTTATTTGCTTACAATGTATAAAATACGCCCATATACGGAGTATGATTTAAAATATAAGAACATAAAAATGGAAGTCAATAGGTAGTTGAAACGTACCGACATTGTTCTTTGTTCGTTTTTATCGTTTCAGTACAGATAATGCATCGTGCCGATTGCGGACCGGCTACTTACGACGACTCATGACTTATCTTCCACTTTTCTTGTTAATGTTAACTGCTTTCAAGCTTAACAAAGCGGCCACTTAACTGTGAAAGATGGCTTCTTTACGACTGTTGGTTTTAATAAAATTAACGAGTATTGTTCACATGTGGGGTTTGTTTCGTTTTGTTGATAGATTTGATGAGTTCTGTTGTAGCGTTGATGTCTATGAGTAGGGCGTAATGGCGCGTTTCCTGTAAGTAATGTTAGCCGGGTGTATTGGATGGGATTGTTGAAGGTAGCAGGGGCTGGACGTGCGTAGGTGTGAACGAGGTGAGAGGCACATCCCCGCCGGGCTAAATATAGCTCGCTTATCGACGACTTACTATGTAAATGACCGCACAACTCTCGGTACATCTGCCGCAAAAATATTATCTCCTTGGACCAGCACTAACCGTTTGAACCTAAGGGCGTAGTAAAATTATTAGAATGGAATCCGACAACTTTAACGTAATCAGTTGCCTTTTTAATGGAATTTATTATCAATTCCATAACATATGAAATCGCTATTCAAAGAAACATTTCACAATTCTTTATTTTAGTCGAATACTGAAAAACAATGATTCACGGTTTTACGGTCATTTTATCAGTTGATAAATATTTTTAAAAGAAGATAGGGTTAAAATTAATGTTACCTGAGTCGGTTATTGCATCGGCTGTTTTAAAACTGGCATTTTGTCTTTAGACATTTTTAGTAGATTGACAAAAAGTGTTTTAAATTAGCCTAGTTCTACAAATTGCAGGAAATAATTTAATTGGTTGGTTTAAAGTTTAAACTAAATTGATATGAATGAATATAATTTGACTACAATTAAAAAATTCAAGTATAAAACGGATTTTAACATCAATAGTTTCTTGTAGTGTACTCAATAAATCCGAGATAAAATTTATTCAGAACAAAACTTAACACACATATAAAATTAAAGACTTACTTATAATGGGCCTGCTTCAAATCGTAGGTTGAAGACCGTCTGTATCTCGTCATATTTCACGATGGGATCGAACTAAATAACACCATTATATTCAATTAGGTCAAGTCAGTGTCAGAAATACGTGTTCCGAGAACAATTGACGTGCTCACGCCCTTCTATGAGTGGCTTTCTCTTAATACTTAATTATATTAATCTTTTTTTTTGTGATATAAAAAATTTAGATTAATCAATATTAAATGTTACTTTGGAACTCCCAAGGTAAATGTTTTATTACTCGAAATGAGGTTTTATTGCGGATACTTACTTTAAGCCGGGAGAATAATTAAGTGTCGCTCCAACATCTAGTACAATTTGTTTGTGGGTTTTTAAATTAGGCGTGACAAAGTTAATTATCGATAATTTCCTTTTCTTTATTGCGGCTTACATACCACATGGACTATGATGAAGTGCAGCATTGTGCATTTTAATGGGCGTCGAAGCCACATAAGATGGGAGAGATGAATTTGTTTATTACCCTCTTCCTTATTGAGAACGTCTGCGCGTGATAGCTCTCTTCCTATGAGTCACTGGAAAGTAATGTCCACAGCGATCAAGTTTGTCCACTATGAACTACACGATTAAGTGTAGGTGGAGACTCTTGGATCTATGATTGATTCTCGATTGCGCATGCTTCAGAGTTATAACTGTAAATTCTGTAGAAATTGAACTTCAGCTGTTTCAGTTAAAACTTATAATTAAACTAGCAGACTCGGCCAAGCTTTGCTGTGGCTAAAGTTTTTGTTATATTACATAGTAGTAAACTATTCAAGGGAAACGGTAGGAGAACACCAGTCATGGGGACCATGCTTTTTTGGTGGTTATGCCATTAAATTGTAGCTTATGTGAAACGTTGGTACTTTCAACACAGCGCCATCTGCTAGAATAGTGACTGTCAAATAATAAACAAATAAAATATTACGGGTATAAATGAAGATGTGAGCAAAACTATCTTTTAAGTTAGATCAAACTGCACACGGTATGCAAATTTGATTGAAATCGGTTAAGTAGTTTAGGAGTCCATAGCGGACAAACAACGTGACACGTAATTTATATATATTAAGATTAGATTACCTTATTGATTTATAAGTTTAATTCCATCAATATAGTTTTATTATGAACAATTTCATTGATTAATGTAATGGCTTCATCTGGTCAATTTACATAATTCCCCTGCATAGGATGTGACAGAAATTTATTTGTACCCCTATCAATAATAAAGTGTATAAATTAATTGTGTATTTCGTGTTATTATTTATAATTTTGTTCTCTTTGGTAAATGTATGGAATAACTTAATGACGATTGGTTTTTATATATTGATATACTTGTGTGTGTGTGCAGACTGCAGTGTGTCACTTGAATATTCTTGCAACCAAGTCGGGGTTTGATGAGTCAGCACTATATTGACTCACTAAATGCAAAACGATAACAATTGTTAACTAATAATACCCTACTGATATAATCTACTGAAATATGGATGACTGTCATTAAAATGGATTGGGGTTGTGTTTCGAAGAATTGTAATAATGTGTTACTACGAGTCGTTATGAATCAGGTGGAGTACACTAGACGGGGTCTGGCTACGTTTGGCCCTGTGCCATGTTTCTGAAATAAAATTCGCGCACAGATGCTGCCGACGTGGGCTTAACAGTCCCCGGGCACATTGTTCCCATAAGTCAACGAACTTACGAAAACCTCCTCGCATATTGTGTCCTTAATAATCGAAGTTCTCTTCTCTATATGGTATGAAACATGTCGCATATTCTTAATCTTTTTTCTCCAATACGCGCGGGAGAAATCCGCGGCGCGCTTATATTTCTCCGAACTTTAGTATTTCGTTTGTTCTCATGGAGGTACAAATATCGGTATGGGTCAAATTGTTTTAAGGTTTTATTTAATCGCGCAGATATTGATTGCTGCGTAAATTGAATTGGAAAATCCCGTGACTCGATGTTCGCATGAAAAAGGGGTGTGGTTGAGTTGCGCCGGGGTGTTAGTCGGTGGTGCGGCGGTGAGGTGGGGTCGAAAGTGCTTCGGCGATGTCTGGCGGGGGTGAGGAAGGTTGGGGAAGGAGGAAAGGGGGGTGAGTGTTCCTGGCAGATCAATACCGCGCGTCCCCTACCGCCTCGCGCCCGACCAATCTACGCAGGCCTAACGTCTTTCGACGCTGCCTGTTTTTTATAGTGCCCATCACCTACACTTCTCGTATAAAGGAACATGTTATATTCCGCGTCTCGAGGAATTGTCTGAACCCTAATCCCCGGGCCAGACGTTAAATCTTTATTCACATTAAACAATAGATTCTGACATTGCGTGCTTCTTTGGGATTGTTCGAATTCGTAATGCACCTGTTGAATAGAACCGCATGGATTGAATATTGTTGTATTCTTTAACGAATTGTTATAACTTAATTGAACTAAGTCTTGGGGAACAAAAACAGACCGAAATCCGGGAACCGGATTTGGGATAGCCTCCAAACATTTGAACACGTGTTGCGAACAGGGGATAGTTGTAAAAAATTACCCACATGTACAACAATATTATAACAGACAGTGTGAAAGCATTAGGAAGTGTCTGACACCTATCCGGGATACGACCAAAGTTCTATACGAATCGTGTTTTGAATAAAACATGCTGTCGGTAATCCGGTGACAACTTTTTAATCTCGATAAACGATTCACCGTTGCTAAATAATTATTTTTAGAACCAACTACTACGCATTAACAAACACTATTTTAAAGTGGCGTTTTATTATAACATATGATTTTTTCCTAATATTAATTATGTGATTTAGTCCATAATATATTCCTTATAACTAGTCTGATTCTTACATTATTCGATTCATGGTAAACCATAGAATTTTATATATTTTATAGAATTTTGTCCCATAATATTTGTTAGAAATAACATCGGAAAACACTGTTTACTAGATTCACTTATACATTTATTTTAAGCACCGTTAAAACACCATTAAACGTTAGTAGTAATAATTCTTGTCTAAAGAAGATTTTTCGCTAATGTGCCGTACATTTATGACATAGGCCTATAAAATATG